TTTGCAAGCATCCGCATGATCGAAACGATCAAGATATTGCACCTTCCACGCATCTCTGGCCTTCAGTACAGTCTCAAATTGCCCTCCCCCTGAAAAGTGGATTACTTACAGGCATACTGCGCAGACGCCCCCCGCACGGCCCCCAGCAAGGTCAGCAGTGCCAGAAGCATTCCCACCAAAGTGGGCACCGGAACCGCCCCTGCCATAGTCACTTCCGCTGATTGAGATGTACTATTGCCGAGACCTGCCTGAAAAGAGTCACGCGCTGCTACCTTTTCACGCCTTGACAGGTTCCTTTTTGAAGTGTCCCTCCGTCTGCCTATCTTTTTGAGAGGGAAGAGACTGCGTCCAAGAGAGATAAGCTCGAAGTCTTTTTTCCATCCCAACGCCCTTTATACCGATGCATTGCAAGCCGCCTTGAGCCAGCTTAGCTGCACTGGAACGAGCTAGTCCGTAAGCCGTTGCGACATTGCCAAGCTGACACATGGTAGAAAGAAGTGCGCGCAAAGAGTACGAGAGACTGTCCCGTCGCAAAAGGAGCTTTCTCCTCATTGGCCATCTCTGGGTGAGCCTCGTATTGAAAATTCGGCCCGCACCCCGGGAAGCGTCGAGGATAGGGCCGAGGATGTCGCCCCAGGAGAGCGCCGAGGATGATAACGCCGGGAAAAGCATCGGGGATGACAAATAGCGTAGCGCCAAGGGATATTAGCACCTACGATAGCCGCTGCTGAGCGCCTAAGAGAATATAGGGAGTGCTCCGAGGATCGCGTCGATCAAAGCGCCCAGGGATCGCGTGCCGAGCGCCGAGGAACAAAGACGGCGCTCTACGGCCGACCCATTCCGCTCTTCCGCCGCTTATCATGCCCATCCTTCCGCTCCTTGTTGGGGTAGAAAGGATCTCGATGTATTCCGCTGGCGTTGCTGCACTCCGGCCGGGGCCTCCACCAGACGTCCTGATGGGCCGACTCGTAACGAGGAGCGGATTGTGCCGTGCCGCCCCATTTTGGTCCGATGTCTTTAAGGAGTTGCTGCTTTTAATGAAAGCTTTTGGCCACGCGCTGTTCCACGGGTTCTCAACCGGACGCTCAACCGGCTGGGGTCAGCCTAGCTAACGGCCTCCTTTCCGGATTTAAAGGCACCGGGCCCGCTCCTAGCGCGCGATCTAGCTGCTGCAGCGCTCACGATTGGTCATTCGCTGCACGGCGGGCCATCCAGGCCTTTCCGTTGCGCACAAACCTCAGCCAATCCGTTCCACTAATCCGCAGGCCATTCCGGTCAGGACTCGGGGGGTTTAGCTGCGGCGCGCCCTGGTCACCCACTCTCCGCCCGCCCACCCGTTCTGTTGCGCGAGCTTCAGCCAAAGTGTTACGCAAGGTCTCGACCCGTTCCGCTGGCAGTGAAGAGTTTCCAAGACGAGGAAGAGCGCCTAGCGCCAGCCCGGCTGGTGTTCTGCTCTGACTGGACGCCTTTGTTGAAGCCAAGCAGAATCAGTATGCTGAGAAGCCACTTGACAGCCAAAAAGCGGCGGATCGAAGTGGGTGAGCTTGGCGGGGACGTGCGGTTGCTGCGGAGGACGTACACACGTGGCCCGCATCTCACGAACAATATTTGCGGGCGGTACAGAATTGCGCGGTCCGCCTTTGAGCGACGACAGAATCTGAGCACCGACGCAAGCGCGTTGGGCAAGCCGAACCTTATGCAAGCCGCGAGCAGACGCTACGCGTGCAAGAAGTTTTCAGTTTGCGCCGGGATCGCGGGCTCTGGCCGCGTCGTGGAGCGACGATTGGCGTGCCATTATTAAGTCAACGGGGGTTGAAGGCAGCCACGCGGCTTGAGATATAACGAGAGAGCTGATGAAGAAATCTGGATCCAGATTACAACGAGAGGGTACGTGAGAGAATGGATTTAACACTGAAAGTTGGGATTGAGCCATTTGCGGCACAAATCGATATCGACCGATCGCAGTACTACGGTCTGAACGCGTTATTCACCTTGATTGCTAGGAGGCCCAAATCCTGAGACTTGCGCACCTACTCAAATCCTGGTCACTCATTATGTCGCTTTCACTGTTGAAGTGTTTTCACGTGGTTGCTCTGCCTTAAACTTCGTAACTGCAGATTTTTCGAAACCAGTCTGGAGCATCCGTTCCCCAACTCCAAGCTCCCTTAATTGCTTCCACATTCTCTCGGGCGTCACGCTTCTGTTCATGTATGCTACTCGACAGCAGTAATTCGTTCTCACTGTCACTCCACGCATTCCCTAACAGCCGCTGGTCGCATTCGGCTTAGTGCCGCAGTTGGGCAGGCACGTGCCGTTGAATCCTGGCGGGGGAGGGGCGCCGCCACAGCCGCCGGCGCAGTTGTAGCCGGCGGAGCAGTTCCGGTCGGAGTTGCAGCCAGTGAGACAGCTGGCACAGGTCACGATTGCGTGGCAGACGGTCGAAGTATCTGGCAGATTGTGGATAGATGATCTTGAGTTGGAATGTTTCTGGCAAACATTTTCATGTCGTTCAGGTCAGAAAAGTCAACCGAGACGGAAGTTGAGGTTTGTCTCCAAGTACTGATCTATGTGCCCTTAATAGAAGCACTTTGATTGTGACCAAGCATGCAGTGTGCAGGTTTACTTACGGATCTTTGACTAGTATCACGCAAAACTATTATGACTGCGATTGCCCAACGCTGAACATCAATTTCCCTGGTAAGGTTTCAAGTGATATGAAAAGTAAGGCACTTGAGCTGATCACTTGAGCGCAGGGAACGTCGCGGTGCGGCACTGAGGACGACTTTTGGGTATTACGAGAGCTGCGCGAGCATATCAACTTCAGGTTTGGAGTTCTGGATAATACTTTTGCCTCGGCTCTTAGGATGTCAACATAACTTCCGTCAGCGGATGAGCTCGAGAACAACTCTCCATCTGGTTGCGACTTGTTGATCGACATCTTGTATGTCAGACGAGTTTTTGATGCGGAATTGAGAGATTGATGCCTACCGGGCAGAGTGCGGCCCACGTAACCGCCGCAAACGCAGTCCTGTGCAGGGCATGCGTCGCTGCTTCTGTTTCCCAACGTACATGCTTGAAGAGGGGCGGCAGCAGGCGGGGGTGGAAAGGGTATGAGAGCGTCTGCAGCAAAGATCTCACTGGGTCTTGAATCGTTATATGGTCACGCTCTTGTGTATTGTCTTGTTAAAAGAACGAGTCGTTCGTTTCAGTCGACTTGGGCCGTTTAGCTGCAGGCTGTATATATTTCCATCAACTATGCTCTTGTCAGACTGATGAGAGAACAGCGAACAATTTGTTCGAGAAGACGGTTCTTGAAAAGGCGTTCCGTGCGAAATCTGATCTGACCACTCATGTGCAGCTGCTACTGTCTATGTATCAGAAATGTTGAAGTAACATGGAAATTCAGGAACCTCGTAATGGTAGTGGCGCGGTTCCGTCCACATTTGGACCGATCAGGAGATCTACCTTTGCAGATCAAGCGTATGGTTCTCATTGTAAAACTTCAGACGCAAGCCACAGCGAAACCGGGAGTCAATTCCCAGACAGACGAAGCCTGCGTCCGTTTCTGGAAGTCGAGACGAGATGCAGCGTTCGAATTCTTCGATTACGTCCGTATATATCCCAAGTAGTTTTAAGCAGTTTCGCTCACCGGGACAGTTGGGGAAGTTGCCAGCTTGAGGGGTCACTTGCCCACTTGAGACGTTGTTGACTACGGACGTGAGGACGTAGGCACAATTGGTGTATGAAGTGTTCATGTAATTGTAGATGCAAGCAGCATATCGCACTGCAACCTTATTGAGGGCGGAGTAGTACCCATACACCGGACACGCATTTCCGATGAGATTCGGATTCATCCTCGGCCTGCCTGCAATTGTCACCAAAAAAGCGGCGGGATCACGCTCGTGCCTCGCAAAAGTAAGCAGAAATATTGTGCAGATTGTTACAGGATTCAGAACCTTTAGTCAGCTTGTTGACAAGGCTGAAGGGAAATGATATGAAGCTTTTTGACGTTAGACGCACTTTAAATGTGTCTTTGCGCGAAAATATGAAGATATTGTCATTGAAGTGATAATCATCAGGTTGACTAGTCGTCTACTTCAATAAGGCAAAGCGAGGCACAAAACAAGCCTCCGTGGTTCAAAGTATTACCTGTGGGACCAACTTGGACGGCTGGGCATGATCTCGGATCCGATATTGGAATTCCGCTCGTGTCGTATGTACAGTACATTGGAGGTTCATCGTAGCCGCACACGACACTGGTCAGGTTGGCTTGCAGCGACTTATCCGTGGATGGACAGCTTCCGATCGCTGGACCAAAGACAAAATGAGATGTCGACGAGGAACATGTTAGAGATTTGATGTCCGAGATCGGGTTTTTGAGGAGCCTCAAGATATTGTCGCCTAGAGGATTGGCTCATATCATTCTTGATTGTTGAGCACGTCGTCGAGCCAGGTGGGTCAAGCTTGACAGCACTGGTTCGTGCCAATTTTCGTGCATTTTTGTGCCAATTTTCGTGCCAATTTTCGTGCAAGTTTTCACAGATCCTGCAAAACCGTACAAGAGCTTGCTGCTGCAGCTTAAGATGCCCACACAATCCAGATTGTGCATAGACAGCAGTTTCACAAGGGGGGAGAGGGTTCCGGAAACAAAGTGCACGCTATCAATTGGAGAATGAAAGCAACGGGGGCATTGACTGCGCTGAAAGTCTACAAAGCCTCGAGCTAGGCAGGTCCGTAATTGATCTATGATTCTTGGATGCTGCTCGTTCCTATGAAGGCATCGGGAAATCTTCTTTGCCTGCCTAAAGGGACGAGTCTCTCGCCCTGTAGAGGAAAGCAAACCAACATATATACGGATTGGGAGCTAAGCGTTACGGAAAGTCGGCTGAAACTTTTGGAGACAACAATCAAAGCGTGTGTCTGTCTCACCATTCGATGCATATGGCGTAGTCGGACCAACAGAAATGGGAAACCCAATTTGACCAGACAGTCGGCTGAAACTAATCGGAATTAAGCTCAAGGCGTGTGTTCGCCTTACGATTCGATGGCGTGGGGGTAGGAGTGGGCAAAAGGGTAGGAAGAGCGGGCTGTGGCACGGGTACAAGAGCGCCTGCAATACCGAGATCAGGTGATGAAACTTATGGGCTCATTGCGGGTTTCCGTCCAAAGGGAGTACGCAAAGGTCAAAGACCCCTTCTTCTGGCTGTAGCTTTGTCAAATATATTCTAAGTAGACCTGGTCAAGGCCCACACTAAAATAATCTGAATCATCAGCAGATTGAACCACTTAACCCCCCACTAATCATTGGGAAAATTAGGCCGACACGTGTCGACAATTCTTTCGCATGTGCCATTCAAGAAAGCCGCGTCTGGCCCGAGGCGACATTCCTTATTACCGAAACCAGTCAGATGTTTTTGACGCTTCGAAGCACAGGGAAACCCGCAATCAATTGATACTTTTTGCTCGGTACATCGTATGTCTTCCAAACAGACTGGGTGACGTAATTATCTTCGAAGCCGCTTTTCCGCTTGGACGCTGCGTCTGACACGTGTCCAATCAAAACACGCAGCGATTTGCGAAGCAGAATGGGTGCGCTGCATCCTTTCTCATTCAAATCTTGAAACAATGATGGCTCTTCGTCTGCGATTTTAGCCTGGGCGTCGTCAAGATACGCTTTTCGGTTCCTAGTAATCCAACAAGCCATCGCAGACCCGGCAATGAGGTAGTCTAAGAATCGTCCAATATATTTAGAAATGGGCGGCAGCGCTGTACTGCTCTTTATCTGGCACTGCCAGGTCTGGACTATTACAGTCGACTCACCGGGACAGCCGCCAATAGTGACAGTTTGGCCGCTCGGTGAGACCCCCATTTGCGGAATGTGCTGTCCAGAGCGAGAGTTGTAGTAACAGAATTCCCTTATGGTATAGAAGTTGTAGACGCAGGCGATACCCTGGATTGGGTATGGAGTCGAGCCCACATACGCTACAGACGGACACGCGTTCCTCACGATTCTCAGATTGCCTGCGAGAGTCACCGAATGTTGACAAGAACAACCACGTCTTTCGTTTGCAGTGGACGGCAAAACTTGTAAACATACCGTCGCTAGAAGTGATCTAGAAAGAAAAGAAGTGCCTGGATATGTGGAGCCTGTTGGACCGACTCAGACGTCCTTCGATGCATAACTACGCAGGATTTTGTCATGGTGATTATGGTGCAGTTTCTCCCGCTTCAATGGTAAAGCAAACTAACGTCGAAGCGAGCATCATTTGTTTGAGAACAGTACCTGATGTATCAACCGCATATGGGCATTGTGGATCGGTTGGATCCCCGTTTGTGTCATAGAAACAGTTGTCGTTGTTTGGAGGTGTGCCGAAGCGGCACCCAACCTGGAAGAGAATGGATTCCCGGACCCCTATTGAGGCCCCCGTGGATGGGCACCCTCCAACGGCTGGATCAAAGACAACAAAAACGGAGAGGAACTTTTTCAAAGATTGGATGTTTGAGAAATTGATTTCAAGGACCTTCACAAATACACCTTCTCCCAAACAACCTGCCAATTTCGGTGTCATCTACTTTCAACACTTTCACTCAGCAACAGACCGACTAAGTGACCACTAAGATTTTCACTGAAATTGGCAGTTTGCTTAGAAGAAGCTGTGTTGTCATCATAGGGCGCCTTAATTTACGACTGGCCAAAGTCATGATTGAGCACGGCGTCGAAGTATGTGGGTCAGCTCGACCCTTCTCCCATGAGAACTCCTCATCAAACCGGTTTCCTTGATTGAGAAGCAACTGCTGGACAAGCTTGAACCTTTGAACGGGTATTTTTGAGATAGCATCCCTTGCCAAACGGTCCAAAGATCGAATGAGTCTCTGGCTAGCTTAATATCTGCAAGCAAGACGCACTTTTTCTAAGTACGATTAAGTTCTTCCGAGTACAATCTGCAGGCTATGTATCATTCGAGAGATGAAGCAACGGGAAGTGAGGCGACGCAATACCACAAAGCATACGGTGGTTTCTGGGGTGGGTCTCATGACTCTTGGATGCATTACTATCTTAGACACAATCATAGAGCGGTCACTGATATCAAAACACTCCAAACATTGCGCTCTTAAAATTGAATCCAACCTCGTGTACGGCCTCAAAGTTCCCTCTTGTCGGAAAACATATCACATACATGCATAAGTCTGCGCAGACGCTCCCCCCGCAGCTCCCAGAATGGCCAGGAGTGCCAGCAGCATGCCGAGCGTAGTGGGCACCGGAACCGCCGCTGCCATAGTCACGTCAGCTGCTTGAGAGGAGTCGACGAGACCTTCACCTGGCTTGAAGAGATTCCGCGCTGCTGCTTTGCACGGCCTTAGGGTTCCTATTTTCTTTGAGGCTTCGTCTTGAAGTGCCGTCCCGTTGCTAGCTCTGCTTTTGAGGGAGAAGGGGTTTCTATGAAAAGAATCTTGCGGTCCGTTCTCTTGATACCAACGCCCTTAAGAGTGAAAGGTCGCAAGCCCTACATTATTATCAGCCAGCTTAGCACCGGAGCAAGCCTGTAAGCAGGTTTGATGAAGCCAAGCTGACTCGGTGACTCAGCTGACTCACGCAGGAGCACATGCGTCCTTCCCTGGTAGGCGCTAGTGAGACGCACAACGGACGAGACACTGTCCCAACTCTTGGAGCAGCCTTCCTACCTCGGAAGCCACCATGAAATTAGTTTTGAGTCCAGATGACCGGCCCGCACCTCGGCGAGCGTCGAGGATAGGGGCGAGGATACTGTGGACTAGAGTAGCGCCGAGGATAGCTTGGAGATCAGCGACTAGGATGGGTTGGAATCCAGCGCCAATGATACTTTGAAAGAGAGGCCCCGGGACTCGGGCCCTCGGGCCGAGGATACTTTGGCAATTAGCGCCAAGGAGAGTTGGATCAAGTTTAGGCCCAGAATAGCGCCTAGGAGAGAGTCGAGATTCAGGGGGCCGAGGACATGACTCTGAGATTAGCGCCAAGGAAACTCTGGAAGAGGCGCCAAGGATAGCGCCTACCTAGAATAGGGTTGAATAGGGCGTCCAAGAAAAGTTTCCTCAGCTAGCTGCGAGGATAGGGCCGAGGATAGCGGCAAGGATTGCTTTGATACGAGCGCCAACGTCGGCCGCTGAGCTCTAATAGGGCGTCGAGGATAGAGCGCCGAGCGCCGGGGATAGAAGTCGGCCCTTTACGGCCAAGCCGTTCCTCCGCTTGGCATGCCCATCGTTCCACTCTAGTTGGAGTGGAAAGGATCCGGCAGATCTATTCCGCGGGCGTTTCTGAACTCCGGCTGGGCTTTTAGACCAGACGCCTTGATGGAAGAATCTGTACGTTACCAGATTGTTCAGCGCCAATACATTCCAGTCCTTAATGAGTGGCTGTGTTCCAATGAAAGCTGGCGGCCACGGACCATTCCACAGATTCTCAACCGGACCCAGTCTCAAGCGACCCAACAATAGCCAACGGCCTCCTTCCATCTTCAATAGAACCGGGCCCGGTTCTGCTGCAGCGCTTCTTGGTCGGTCATTCCGCTGCACCTCGGGCCACCCGGGCCAATCCGTTGCGCGGAAAACCTCAGCCAGTCCGTTGCGCGAAGTCGCAGGCCATTCCGGTTCCGAACCGGGGCCGATTAAGTTGCGACGCGTCCCGGGCGGCCATTCAGCTGCACGCACCCCCTGAGCACGCCGGTCCGTTGCGCGCGAGCCTGAACCGAGCTGTTCCGCTAGCTCGCGGCCCGTTCCGGATGGCAATGGATGGTCACGGTACACGGAAGAGCGTCTGGCGCTAGCCCGGTTGGTTGGTTGTTCCGCTCGCCTAGCAGAAGTCAAGCAGATCAAGTCAAGCAGAAGCCGATAAACTAGAGCGACTTTGACAGCCAAAAGACGGCGGATCGAGTGGGTGAGCTTGGCGGGGTGCGGCTGCTGCGCTGGACGAGGACACGTGGTGCGCCTCCCACAACCTTTCCTCGCGGGCGCTAGAAGTTGGCGCGCTTCTGTTTTGGAAGACGGCAAGATTCCGGCGGAATTACTTCCGGTAGATTGAGCGGCGACGCCCGCGCGTTGCGCGATGCGATCCAGCTGCTAGGCTTACGAAAAGCTGTGTTTTCAAGCGCGCCAGGATCGCGAGAGTCTGGCCGCGTCTTAGGAGCGACAATAATGACGATCTTTCAAGACAACTACGCGGCTTTATGAAGTTCCGGGTTGCCAAGATGACGAAAGACCTGATGGCAAAGGTGGGCGACCCAGGTTACGACTTGAATGATATGAGGAGACGTGAGAAACTGGAGTTCACAAAACTAAAGTTGGGCGCAGGCTGTTCTCGGCCGAGGCGTTGAAGCGGTTATTATCGTAAGCAGGAGCGGAACGAGACAATCGAGATTAGTGGCCAAGTGCAAGCTGACTTCGCAGACGCGTTGAAGCGGCAGCACAGCGTGCTTGAGACCTTGCTGCGGTGAGAAATTAGGGGACGGAGGGAAGATGCGGGGCGCTTTAATGTCTTGCGCGTCGACGCTTGTCTTCTGATTCAAAGGTACTTTGATTCTTGACCGTTCTACCTGATGATGGTGGTATTAAGCGGCGTCCCTGAAATCAAATGTGAGACGCCTCAAGCTCACCGAGGGCCGCGACCAGTATGATGGTCGACTTATGGATCATTGATATTGCGATCGGCATTATAGATACTTTGCAAGTACATGTGCACGATGCAATTTGGCCACGCTTGTCCACTGTGCACTTTCCGCTGGATTTTACATACAAAAGACATCTTCCATGATTCGAACATTCAGCCATCCACAGAACAGCCACATGAAGCGACGTATGTACATTCAGATCTTGACGCTGTTTACTAGAGGTGAACAATGAATGACTTCCTAGAAGCAATACAGTACTGGTCCGGCGCAACTAAAGCCCCAAATCGGATTGACGTGTCTCGGCGAACTCGTAGTTTATCGTTTTGTTTCTTCCGCACAACATTTAGTAAAGTTCATGCAGTGGCTCCGTCTCACGCAAGCCCAGCTCTTAATGTCGCTGCCCTTAAATTTAACAGCCGTTAGTAGCATTCGGCTTGGTACCACAATTGGGCAGGCATATGCCCTTGAAACCTTGCATCATCACAGACGTCGGGGGAGGAGCGCCGCGACAGCCGTCAGCGCAAATGTAGCCGGCGGAACAGTTCCGGTCGGTGTTGCAGCCAGTGAGACAGCTGGCGCATGTTACGTTTGCCTGGCAGACGGACGTCGGACCTGGCAGAGTATACAGATCAGTTGATTAAGGAGACTTTTGATACATGCCGACCTTTCTGGCAGAAAACTGTCAAAACTCAAGAGCTCTAACCTTCGGAGCTCTTGTGTGAGCAATCAGGATCTTCGTCACGTCTTAGTATTCCCGGGGCTGGATTCTGAGTTGGAGATAAGCTTCCTTGAGAGAACACACTGCCCACGGAAACCGGGGTGAGGTTAATTCCAGAGTTAGGGTTCGGCCGGATGGCGACCATACAATCTGAGTTTGACAGGAATCCAGTCAACCCCAACTACTGGTAGCAATTATACGTATAACCTTGCTCCAACGTACGGGCTCCAAGAGAAGTGCCCATCGCACTGCGAACCACGTCTCATCTTCTTGGAGTGATACATGTAAACCTTGTAATCCGTCAACGCAAATCTCTCGTTTCGCAATGCATGGATGAAATTTGCTTTGTCTGCTAAGGGACGAGGCTCTCACCAAGTGGAGGAAGGTGAACCAACAAAGCTTATGGGCACTGAGCTTCACCAGACAGTCCGCTCAAACAAAAGGGAAAGGAAAACAAAACGTGTATGCGCCTTACCATTCGGTGGCGTGGGGGTAGGAGTGGGCAAACTGAAAGGAAGATTGTCGACCGTAAGGGAGAAAGTGGGCGAAGGGAGGGAAGAGCGGGGACCGTCAGTGGGGTAGAGGGCGGCACAGAAGGAAAAGGGGGGACCGTAGAGGGGCCAGTTGGAACAGGGGAGGGTAGATAGATGACCGTCGAAGAAGGTTTGGGCAGAGTCGAAGGAAGAGGGGGAACCGGTGGTGGGGCCACGAGAGCGGCTGCAAGAAAGGTGTCAAGCAACGAAGATGTCAGGCAAGCAGATCAACAGAAACAGGCTTTTGTCTTTTGGATATGCTTGTCAGTGGCGGTCGCGTCCAAGCTTTCACGATGATGCGTGTGATAAGAGAGTGAGCCTACGAGCATGTGGATGACGTTGCCATAATGCAGGCATATCTGCTCGTGCAGTGCACGCCTCGTATCTTTTGGTTTGCAGCCAGCGAAAACAAACCCGGACCACAAAAAGCTTCTTTTTCCAAAATGAGCGGAGCGGCCATTTCTCGACCGTCCCTTGCAAAGGCCGTGAGTACGGGAATCGCTCACCGGGACAAGGTTGGTCATAGACGGCTCCAAAAACTGGAGGAGGTGTCAAAGCTCCAGCGATGACGTCATAGGTACACCGGAACGAGACATCGAAGCCGTAGTCTTGGTAAATACATTCAACAGACAGGGTTCGGAATCGACGCTCGCCGAGCGTCGCGTATCCAGGCAACGGACACGCGTTCCCGACAAGACTCAGAACAATGCCTGCAAGAGTCGCCCAACATCAGGCACGTGCTGTGTTCAGCAAGCAGTGAAACAGAAGATCCTCCAAGCATGCCATACTAGGAAACCGAAGAAAATAAATGGCTAAGTTCTGTTATGCTGGGCTCTAAACTTCATGCGTGTTTTCTTGAAAGAACGTTCCTTGAAAGGACGAGCGTTCCTCGCAGAGATTGGGATTTCTGTTGCACTTTTCGCCCAATTCTTGAAGCCTATCCCGAGCAAAGTTTTTGTTTTCGTGTCATCTTGAACAATCTTACTATGCATCAGACTGACTAGACAACATCTTCCACTGAACTAGAAAGTTGCTCAAAAGAGACTGTAACCTGACAACTTGAAGCGAGCCTCCTTTCTTTGAAGAAATGACCTGAAGCGTCGGATGGGCACTGCCCCACGCCGAAAGTACTTGAATAGTCAAGATTCCCCGCCGCGTCATATGCACAAGCGGCGACAACGCCCCCAACGCGGGCCGTCCCGAAGTTGCACACGGTGTAGGTGAGAATGGCTGATGCGGGATTGGTTGCTGGACAACCCCCAGTTGCTGAAACGAAGAGAAACGAGGATTCCAAAAAATGGTATGCTATCTGGTTTCGATCAGGATTCTCAGAGAGACTGCCGTCATACGGGGGCCCCAGGGTTGGCTCGTTTCAGCACTGCGTCAGATTGCCGCGGCGTTGGTCAAGCTTATCACCCTTCCAGAAACATCGCCTATCAGACGGATCATTTCTATTAGATGACAGCTGTGAGAGAGATTTTAACCCTTTAAGGGTGATCTTGAGATAGCGCTAGCATTCTGTGCCGAGTGTCTGCGAATTAGACATTGAATACAGAACCATCGAAGCTTGGTACACGAAGATGCCTTCCTTAACTAGGTATGTTAGAGGCATGCAGGAGTGCCAAAAGGGCAAGGTTCAGTTCATAACGATTTGCAGGTTATCGTCTGAACAATCAATCAGCGGGGAGATCAGGCAAGTCTCGATCATGCTTAATATTTTAAGAGGCATAATTCCGGGGTCAAACTGAATTTTCACCCCGCATCATAACTACGATCTGAACTCTGGACTCGAGTTTGACCTTCTGCATATTTTTGTCCTGACGTTTATATAGTAGCACATTGTGAGTATACTATACTTACCGTGTTGTTGGGCTAACGCTCCCTGCGTGGCCCCCAGTAGAACCAGCATAGCCAGTAGCACTCTCAACGTACTCGGCATCGAAAAGGCCGGTGCCATAGACATGCTTGCTGTTTTAGAAGTTTTGGTGTCACTTTCCTTGTCGCGGAGTCATGCGAAGCTGCTTTGCACCGCCTTAGGTTCCCGTTTCCCCAAGCTTTGCCCTCTCATGCTTCGTCGACTGTTGTACTCCACAAAACGGATTTTGAGTGCCCCCGAGCCCAACAAAAGGGGCGACTTGTGCGGCGGGCTAGCGGGCTAAGGTTCCTGTCAGAGCGCTGGCACAACCGTTGAAACCTCTCAACAAATGTCAAGCCATAAGGAAAGAATACCTGCAAGTGTTTCAAAGAAGTAACTGTGAAGCCCGGTCGCTCTGCTCCTAAAGCGCCCTCCTGCTGAACATTGCAATGCTCGCTCTGGTATTTGTGGATTACAGTAATGCAGGTTGGTTACTTGACTTGCGAGAGCATTGAAAAGCGTGCGGCGCGGCGCAGTTCGCTTCCCAAAATGTGGTCAAAGTTAAAGCCAGGAAGACAAGACACGCAGGGAAGGCCTCCGACAAGTGAGACGCACAACATACGAGTAACCGTCCCGTCATAGGAGCATCCTTCCTCCCTCGTTTGCCAACGCTAGAAGAGCTTCGAAGTCGAGGCCAGGTAGGTGAACGGCCCGCACTTCGGAGAGCGTCGAGGATACGTTTGAAGATAACGCCGAGGACTACAGTTTACGGGATTGCTTCGATGAAAGCGCCGAGGATAGCCCTCGAGCGCAAAGATGGCACCCGGTTGCGTTAACTCGAGCACCGGGGATAGCGCACCGAGCGCCCGAATACGAGATCAAGTTTTGGTGTGGTCGTCGGCAGATCCACCGGAGGGGTAATATTTCCCCCCTTGAATTCAATAACAATATATATCTTCCTCCTATGATCACGAGATGTTGCCCTTCAGCGGCGGAAGATCCGAGATCTAGGATGCGCCAACGGGGGGAAAGCTGCCGTCTAACAAATCCTTTCTTGTCAATCAAAGGAGAGCTGACAAACGACAAGGGGAAGAACGGCTTTCTCCGGTTCGTCCGGTATGGGCAGCCGTGCGCGATTGCGCAGGCGGACGGCTGAAGAGCGAAGTCAGAACGTGGAAGCGGTCCGGTGTGCAGTTCGGCGCCCGGTTCGCAGGTTGCCGCTTCCGCTGACATACTCAGCTTGAGTGACACAGAAACGGAAAATCTCCTTGGAAGAATTCCTCTGCGGCACTGTCAAAACGTGGCGGTATCATTCAGGTCAGTGAGAGGCTTTCGAGCGCTGATGATCGGATTGGTGTGGTTTCAAATCAGCAGGCTCGCGTCTTTGAGTCCGGGTTATTTTGCGCGAATGTGACAACGATCTGGGTAAGTTGCATCTGGTTGCATTCTGCAAGAGGCTTTTGACGCTGCTCGCCTGGCTTTATAACTCCGTGGCGGCTCGATCAGTGGTTCAAACAGATGCACAATCCCTGTGCCAGTGGTTCCCATGCTGTACTTCGACTGGCTTTGTTCTGAGTTCTAGCCAGTGGCCCCAGGCTCACTTCAGCCTGACTCATCCTGACTCATTTCCAAGTCATTCGAAGCTGACTTTCTAGATTTGGAAGTACGGCGCGTTCGGCGCTGCGCAGCCCGCGGCCCAACGACTGCCAGTGGATACAGGGGCACTGCGGTATGAATGTATGTTGATAATACATGTGGCCCAACTTTCCTAGGTCTGTATGCGAGTGCGTTGTATGGACTATATCATTCTTGAATTTGGCATGGGCCCGTTGCGCTGGAGGTCACAAACTTCAGGTGCAACTTTTCACGCAAAAACTAATCTTGCATGTTATACCACCTAGAGCGGGAACTGACTAACACGGACTCGAGTGGCAGTCACTACAATTCGTTCATGCATACATGAGCCAATTGATCCGGCCGGGTCGGGCCTTCCGACAGCCAGGCTTGCGCCACAATTTATAGATGTCTTAGGGTCCGGTCATCCAAAACGTACTTAATATTCGATCATTCACTTGAATCGTACATTTGCATGGCCATCACGTAGACACGTGAACACCGAAGCCGAAATGACGACCGTCGGGTCCTAGGCTAGCAGTCATGCGCTGGGAGTGCATGCGCCGCGTCTAGTACTGGCCTAGGGGGCGTTCGATCCATATAGCATTTGACTCGAGTGCACAATAGTTGAGATTCCAATCAAGATTAGAATCTTAACCAACCGTTGTGAAACGTCAGTGCAGCGCCGGGAGTCTGCAATGTCTTTGAGAGGGCGTGCATGCCACTTCTGTAAATTAGTACCGTGAAGAAACACTTCGCTCAATTGGCAGTGATTGTGAGAAAACAAAGCTGTCTCGTAGAACCAGTGACATCCAACATAAATAACAGCCTCGAGCAATTGAATCAAACTTCGAACCAAAGGTTTCAAGCAAGCCGTCCTTCGCCGTCCTTCGCAAGTCAATCTCTAACGCGTCCTTGTGAATAGTGTCCCGATCCTTTTCTCAGAAGGTTTCGAACGAACCTATCTTTAGATGCAACGCGGTGAAACTAGGAAGACGAAGAACTACCCTACGTTGTTGGTCTTGTCACAGTCGAACGACCCCTCCCGCTAGAAGCTCCTAATAGAAGAGCGTCCGTTTGCCCATCTGTACAAGTAGCAAGCACATCGTTAGAACTTTTTACCTTCTAAACGGAAAAGCCAACAAGTACCCAAAGCAGAAGCAAGGGTTTCAACTGATCCACGCACTCAACGCGAAAGCCAAGGTCTGTGTTCCACTTCAGGAATATTGAAATCTGTGCCTTGCGAAGGCTTCAAAAGTGTCGGCAATCGTATCCCAGAAGACGCCTTTCTTGAAAGGCCAACTGAAAGAACCCATCACGCCAGTATGCCAGGCCATAGCTCACGTTTGAGACCATAATCCTCATAACGAAGCAAAAGCCAAGAACGTGCTCTACCTGCATCCATATGAAACGACCCTATCCATGCATAGATAAGAAGAACAGCATGACCGCAACTGCATTAAAAGCAGTCTCTTCATCGCAGATGCCATTTCAGCACCTCGCAAACCCAATAAAGACTACGACCCAGCAATGGAACAAGGTGAAACCAGCCTCAAACTCTACTTCAGCATCCGACTTTCCTTGACCTTGATTTTCCGAGCATAGATGTTTCATACCTCAGAACACTGAGATGTAAGCAAGGGCGTCAAGATAGTCAAAACTGACAAACGAGCCCAGACTCACCTTCGGCATCCAATCTCCGCACCACTTCAATGGCAAAAATGGAGAAGCTTTCGTCATCGCCCAAGTTGTGTCGCCCATCACAACAAATGCGGATCCAATTAACACAATCGAATGCACCAAAGAAGAACCACCCCAGACGCACCTTCGGAGTCCGACTCCCCCTCGACTTCGATCACCATCGCCTCGACGTCAGCGTGCTTTTGGAGCAGCTCTGGCGGGCCTGCGATGCCCTTACACGTGTACAGGTTCTCGTCTTCCAGCGCCAGGAAGTCGTATGCGTTGTATACGTCCTCGGTGGTGCACGACTCGTACAGGTAGATCAGGTCGCGTATGCACCCGACGTCCTGTCGGGGTAAGAAGCAACGTCATTTTGGACGTCATCAGGCCATGGACAAGCGAAACGAAGGAAGTACACTGGACACAAGATAAGGTCGTCTTTTGACTCTTTGCTCGAAGCTGAGCAGAACTTGACACAACGATTTCGGGGACACACTCAAAAAGCGCAAAGTGCAGGCAGAAACTCGTCGAGTCGGCACCTAAAGCTAAGCTGCACTTTGCACAGAGTGCGACTGGATGAGCTGTACAAACTTGACAACACAGAAGTTGGTGGGTGGAAGCAATGGTGTTGTCCTATTTCTAAACTACAATTTGTGGGCGACGCTGGATCTCTGGTCCAGGTCGTTGAAACAAGTCATGCTCCCGCATGCTGAAAGTTACCTTCATCCAAGACCTCGTCAATCGTTCTCTCGATCTTATCGAAACGCCAACTGCATGGTCAAACGAAACAGTCCCGACGCCAGCGGAGGGCTAGAGCTGTTTAACGGTATAAATAACCAGCCGTCCCTTTCTCCCAGAGTTGACCGAAGCTGTTTATCAGTAAGTCTCAGGCACAACCGCCAGACTAGATATCCGAAACCCTCAAGCTAAATTTGCCTGCTCTTCGTCAACGGGAGTCGTCTCCTCTCTCTTTCCCAGCTCGTTGGTCGCGAAGCTGGAGTGTGGAACAAAGGACGAAAAAGTGAGTCACCCACCTTGCGATGGACCGATGGCGTCTGCACGTGCGTCATCAGGCTCAGCCAGTAGGCGTTGTCCTTCAGGTCCGACTCGTGGCGCGTCAGCAGCGTCCGCTTCGCCTGCGCAGGCAGGGGGGCGATGACGTCAGCAGAAAAACAACGAAGTCGGCAGTTTCCAAAAGCCAAGCGACGATGTCAGCATCGGCCCCCCGGAAAAGAGGCTATTAACGTCAGCAAGTTGACAGAAGCTCAGCTTACGGAAGGATAACAGGACACTGGCCACTTTGTTCTTTGAAGAAGATGTTTTTTGATGTTAGGAAGCCTAACTAGATTGCTACAGGAACGAGGTCAGCAGCAAGCCTGACCAACGCACACTGATATATTTCTGTCTAATCCAGCAAAGCGTAAAAACTTGACTCACCCGGGCCAGCTCCCGGTCGCTAATCCGGTCGTCGTTCAGCCCTTTGAGCACGCTCAGGGACGCGTTCACCGCCTCCTCGATCTTCCCCGGGGTGCTGGTAACCGAAATCACAAACCACCCGGTTTTGAGCCGGTCAAACAAGCTGAGCTCGAACGACACGTCGTACGTCAGCCCGAGGGCGTCGCGGACCGTTGTGAAGAGCCGGGAGTTGATGATCTCAGCAAGGATCGCAAGCGCGACGCTCGCGTAGAGGGGGTGACGTTTGCGCTGCCAGTAGAGGGATCCCTCGTCGTCGACCATCACGCGCGAGCCGAAAGTGGCCATTGCGTGGATTTGTTGGACTGCAACGTAGACAGAGAGAGGGTCAGCTAGAAGCTTATGGTCTGACGCATATATTTGTACGTATCCACGTAATGCTTGAAATCGGAGAAGACCTTGAAGTACGGGAGTGCCTAATAAGGCGACAAGAAGTGAGCTGGTACATGTCTAAAATGAGGGACTGCCTGAACCGTACGATAACACCCAAAATCTAACTTTGAACAGTGCATCCTGCATGGATCTAAAAAAGCCGCTACCGTCTTCTCTGGTATGTGGTATGATGGACGTTTATTAGTGAGGAAGGTATGTGCTAGGGTCTGGCAGCATCACGCGCAATCGGTGGAGAAAAGTTGCAACGGACAGCTTTGCAGACTGCAGTAAAGCCTTGAAAGTGCTGGAGGCAAAAACACTCGTTTTGGGTCCCGCAAGGCATCGCGACACACGGAACCCCAGAATTTCCAGTGCAAAAAGATTCAAACGCAGCTTCAGCACTTTTTAATGCGTCAAGAAGGCGGCCATGAAGAGTCGACGACTTTGGACCCAGGCAGAGGGGAACGAATAATCGGCTTAAAGCACTTAACAAACAGAGACGAGTCGAAACAGCACATTTTCAAGGATAGCTCAAAACTTTCAACGCATTGAAAACGCCGCATGGAAGATCGACCAACCCGGAAGAGGGGCGCCATGACTACTTTTCAAACGAAGATTGCAGAAAGGATGCAAAGTTGGGATGAAATGCTTGCCTGAGAGACCCGGGGGGCAGGGCTGGTTGATGGTGTTCAAATCTGCACCGTCGGCGGTATAGCCCCACCGGTTGGGTGCCGCGCCAGCGATGAAAGCGCACGCCCTCTCGTCGGTGTCTTTCAGCAACACCTGAACGCGGGAAAAACGTCCGTGTCTTCAAAAAAACCTTGGCACAAAGAAAACGAGACGAAACGTAAACGGAAACGACCAAAAAGCCTGGCGTTTATTGGTCGCAAGACCCCAACTTCGGCTGTCTATATTTCTTCTACATACCAAGTGCAATTGGTTGTGAGGCTTGCTTGCAGACAAACAACTCTGACGGCGATCAAGTGCGACAATAAAGGGCCTATCATTCACCAGAAATGTCGAATCTTTCAAAACAAGGGCTTGCGAGTCGACGAATGGGATGGTTCCACGTGCTGGGAATACCAAAATCTGCTGGTGTCGAGCTAGTCCAGATATAGTGTCACATTATTGAGATCTGCTGTGTTTGTTGAATGTCTACCCTCTTGTGGACGTCTGAGGGTTGTACTCGTCATGCTCCTAATAACTTCCAAAAAAGTCCAGAAAGAAGGACTTTTCAAGAAAATGGCGTCGCCCCTCACCTTTTGATTCCGCCGTGACGCATCGAAGGATGTTACGACTTGGAACGGAACCTCCAGCGTCTTAAGCTCCTCAGGCGTCGTTGCCGGCTTGGCCGGAAGCGTGCCCAAATACGTCAGCAGACACCGCTCTAGTTCCTCCTCCGTGAAGTCACCTACAACCGACACCTGAAAGGGAGAAAGCGGTAAGACTATCAGGGCAACTGTCTTTTGGTGTTTCAGTCCGATGTTAGACCCCAAGTTGCTGACGAGCAGTCCATGATTGGCAAGATCGTGCAACAACCGACCGAGAAGGAGTGGCTGCCCGGAGGACAGGGACTTGGCAGCACGGCAGCTCCTCTTTCAAGCCGTTCTGCTATTTTCTTAGTCGGCTTGGACTTGAGACAGGATTTAAGCAGACCCTAGACCCCAGTTCCCCTCATCTGAAAAGAGGACGCGTCTCCCAGTCGCAAAGGTGTCAACCGCCTGCCCTTTTCCACTGTGCGGGTCGAGTTAAAACTCTCTACAATATGAGATCTGAAAGGGTCTCTTTGTAATTTCGAGTTGAAAGCACCAGGAAGTTCCACGAAAAAGCATAGAAAAACTTTTTCACGAGGTCTTCGCCCAAGGGTTCGGTGAGGAACGCCCTTCACTAACCACGAGGTAAAGTCGAAAACGAGTTTTGAGTCGTTCGCGCAGTTTCGAAGCAGCCATCCGTCTCAGCTGGTTGAAGGCTGCCTTGCTGACCGGAGAACACCTACTGTTAAAACCTCGCTGGTACACTGCTCTAACCGCACTATTGCAAGCCCGCAACTATCTGTGCCAAAACAATCACTTTCTGAGCTTATAATCTCATGCGCTCTGATCGCTCACCTCCATATCCCCGGTCTTGAGCTGGTCGAACACGGCCTTGCTGACGGTTTCTAGGTCCAGCTTGGCGATTGCGTCCGGCGTCGGCTCCATGAAGCGCGCGTCCCCCTTGAACATGCTCTTCATCAGAGTGTGCGCCGTCGCCCTTTCCAAGGACTGGCAAAAGAAGGATGCAGAACGGTCAATCATCGATTCCGGAACGTTATATCAAGCTGTTGAATCAAGGAATGCTTTCGTAGACAGTGATGTGAAGACGTCTAAAATAACGACGCTCTAGTCGTGGTCAACGTGAACTCAGCTCGTCAGAGGAAAAGGTTGTCGGGAAGGACAATGATTGCAACGATACGGAAGTACATCGGGCAGGATAAACGAACAAGCGCTGAAGCGATCACAATACGCAGATCAAATCCAAGAATCGGCGAGCGCTGTACGAAAATTGTACGGAAAAATACAGGTCGTTCAAGAATGACAGCAAGAAACTTAAGCAAAGCTTTATCAGCTTCGGGCGTCGAGCAACAGTCCGAGACAAAGGCAGCAAGAAACATGGGCAAAGCTCAATTTATGACGGACGTCTCATGCCTTGGGCATGGAGCGGCTGTTCTTCACTTTTCTGAAACACTCGCAGAGAAAAGTCTGGGCTATGAGACGCAAAAAACGAAAAGTGGCTTCCAAAAAAGTGAAGAGCGGCTCGCACCCAGCAGTAATGTGTCAAGGTTCCGAAAAACTAGCGAAGGTACCTCTAGGCTACGCTTCTTAAAAACCTAAATTCATATCGGATGAATCCAGAACGTAAAGAGCGGTTCGTATTCTGGGCATGCAGTGGTAACACGACAGAAATATCTGCTTGGCAGAATCAAGCATTACCATTTTCGGCAGTGGCCACGAGACGGAAAAAGCGGCAGCAAGAAATCTAACAAAATCCTCGAGATTACTAAGAAGAGCGGTTCGTACCTTGGGCATGGACCGGTAGTACGAAAGGTACATTTGCTTGGCGCGGTCGAGCGCGTCGTCCCGCCACACCGGCTCCTCGAGAACCATGTGCATCAGCTGGAACGCGGCCTCCATGCCGTTGTCGCGCATCACGAAGTGGAAGTCGAGGCAGATGAACTCTTCGTCGGTCTCCAGGATGCAGTTGATCAGGTTGCCCACGCAAAACAGCTCAACCTGAAACAAATTCAAAGTTTCATGTTAGGACGTGTCTTGATTCGACTGTTTGTTCCGGTCGTTTACTTGGTTTTAACCTTTTATGTTGCCTCAATTGGGAGACGCCTCGGGCTTGGCATTATTCTGATAATGACTGCCAAACATTCTGTCTGGCTCGGCCTTACAATCTGTATTCTCCCTTTGCTTTGAGGCCTTGAAAGCCGGAGTTTGCACGTCCCAAGCTTAACCCACTTCGACCTCGTGCGTAAGTGGAGTTGTTTTCTTTAATAAACACATTCCGAAGTCGGCCGAGGTGGTCCAAGTGTCTCGGCTCCACTTCGTCGTTGATATCTCGTAAAACGCTGAGTTTGCAAGCTTGGCCCTTCTTCGCAAAAACTGACTGGAAAGTCGTATCCTACCTTGAGATATGTGTATCGGGACAACCTTCAGTTGAAGACTGGTGTGCGTGGGCAACCTATCTAACACAGACGGAACAGATCATCTGCCTCCGCTTCTTTTCCGTTTCGCTATGTATCTCAGGGCCCTGAAGTATGCAAACTTGGGCCTTCCACCTGAAAACCGACTGCAAAAGTCGGATGCAACCCTAACATTTTCATGTAGAGACGAAACGATTTTGACAAACGAGGAAAAAGTCCCGAGCAAAAAGTCCCGAGCAATTCCCGCACCTGTTCTCTGGACCATTTCCCCACGGAGCCCGCCTCGGAGAGCGTCCTCGTTCCAATGGCTACTGCCGCGCTCGCGTTCTGCGTCTCCCTAGCACGGCCGCCTGGCGCGACCAATCGCATCACTCCTCCCCGTGCCTCGTTCTGTGTCATCTGCGGACAGGAGCACGGCAATCGTATTAAGATGGGGCTCTCACTCCTTCGTAGTCTAAACGCGCGTTTTTGATATGCCAGCTTTTTCCAGTTCTGAGAGGCTTGACGCAACTTTCGCCAGTGATTGTCTTCCTCGTCGTCAAGCACCGAACTCAGAATGGATAGACTCAGAATGGATAGCAAATGATCCGCGTAGAAAGGCGGAACATGATGGGGATAATCGAACTTCAGCTTTGCCGAGAAGCGGCGTTAGGGTTTTACGAAGCAGTCAGTCAGTCAATCGCATTCTGGTTGGAAGATCTTTTCGTGTTCAATCGAATCATCGCCATCTAGAGACAGCTAGAAGATGAAAATAGCGTCGTTGAAATATTCACACTACCAGCGAAGACGCTCTAACATCTACGTAACCAACCTTTTCCCCTTATGTTTCCTCACCTTATAATTGATCCGAATCCCATTCGATAGCCGCCGCTGCACGACCCCCGTCCCCTCGTCGTATGTCCTGTACGCTGTAAGCCCCTCCTTTTCCGCTCCTTCCAGTTTCACAAACGCTGGCTGCCGTGTCCTGATCTTCTCTTCCAACTCATCTATTGGGATCAGGCTCTTAGGCACGTCCAGATCGGGTTCCCCCTCGATGGGTTCCGCTAACCCGCTGCAATGAACGAAGGGTTGCGGAACTTGAATACGCGTACGGGCAAGTGCTCAATCATCAATGCAAGCATAATAGTGAAGCGGCAGTCAAAGTTGGATGTCGAAAAGGTTGATTATCCGACCGACTTCAGAAGGCCACGGATAAAAAAGTCTCATTGGGAGCTATCCTGGAATTTTGTGGCGATTAAGAGCTTGTTTAAGGAAGAAAACCACTTGCAAACTCCGTTCACTTGCCCTGCAGTTTCTCCAACAAGTGGCCGGCTCTGAACGACAAGGGCCGGAACTGAAACCAATACCGGAATGGCTAGCACCGGATCCGTACCTAACAATGGTGTCCTTGATTTCTTCAGGGGTGATGAAGAAGGGCTCGTCGGGGGAGCCCGCGTCGCCGCTGATGATTTTGGGAACGCAGCAGACCACTGCGGCGGGGACTGGAGCGGAGGAGTTGCCATAGTCAGAGACAAACTCGAGCAGGTTGACGGCGACCGCGTTAACCTGCATAGGAAGGTTAACTCAGGTTCTTATTTTGGTGGATTCAACAGCCTCGTTTCTGCTGAAAAACGTTTTCAGAAGACTCTTGGTGAGGATATGCGGAGCTTAAATTTCGGGAATTGCCGGGTGCTACAAGAGGGTAAGTTCCTTAACGAGTGTTACGGTGGCGCGGTCGGACACAATGTCGAGCGAATTGACGGCCATAGCATTAACCCGCAGTTGACCTTGGGGTTGATTTGCGTTACCGGCACTCAGAAACGGTAGTATGATGACAGTTTGCTCAAGTGTGAAGAAACATTCGAGCACTGTTATGACGAAAAGTTCTTTGGTGGAGAATCTGACGAACTTGGAGCAATCATGGTTGATCCTAAAATGTGAATTGCCTAAGAGGCGAGCTCACAAAATAGCAATCAGTGCGAGTACTAAGATGAACGTGAACCTAAAGCCCAATCAGATACAGATGTGCCATCAAAGCAGAGACTGCAAGCTCGAATGCCTCACGTTTTCCAGCGTCACCTGTGCTACTTGTACTGCCTGATCCCTTATCTTCTTCTGATGAAAAGTAATCATTCTCAAAAGACGAGGTGGGCTACACTCAGGTGCGGACTTAAGTGCAGAGTCCACCAACGGGACAGTCGCATTGTCACGATCTCAACCGTCACGATCAGCCGCGGTGAGCAGTTGGTATCATGAAACCGGAAGACGAGTAACTGGTGCAACTACTCAAACGCGCTGGAGAGCATACAGAAGCGGAGGAAGTTTAGGATTCCCACGTCTTCTAGCGTCACACTGTCAGCGACGTCGCTCAGGCACTTCTCTTCCCACTGAAGCGGACCGTAAACGGATGGTCTATTCCGTCAGAAACGAAGGACAAAAGGGACAAAAAACGGAAAAGTTTCGCAAATCTCACGTCTTCCAGCGTTACACTGTGAGCAACGGCCCTCATGATCCTTCAATTAAGCCTACACCTCATTGGTCAACAACTGAAGGCCAACCAGACGTTGATCAGAAGGGAAAAAATGAGCCGTGCCACAGGGGGACCCCTCACGTCTTCCAGCGTCACACTGTCAGCGACGGCGCTGAGGCACTCGTGCCCTTGCTGCTGGTCCATTATGGAGTGCCCCAGCGCGTCACTCTCCATGATGAAGTCCAGGTTGTCGATCGACGGGATGTTGTCGATCATCGCGGCCAGCTGTTCGCTGTCCTTCAGGAGCGCCTTCAGGTAGCGCGTCAGCTCGCCTTGCGTCACGCCAAACTCCTTCAGACGCCGCACCTGGAGCAAAATAGGGGACCAACGTTAGGGTTGTGTGTAGCAAACCTCTCGCAGCTGGCTTATCGGGAGTCCTTCCTAGCGGTGCCAGGCAGAACATCAACCCGCCTCAAAAGGTCAAAGCACCTCATCACGGCTTCAAAGACCTCCGATTGCGACCTACATTTTTTCTTCAGACATTCGAAAGGCCGCAATTAATGCAACTCACTTCCTGGACCGCAACCTGGACGGCTCCCCGCCAATCCTTCGCCTCGGATACAATTGTCAGTGTGGTAACTGAGCAGCCCTCCCGCCCAGAGTCGGAATGGTCCATCTCGATGGTGCTAAAGGGAGGGTTAGCGCTCTGCACACACACAGGACAGGGTGTCAGTGCATAGTGTTCTTCAAATGGTGTTTCTAATACGCTGCCTTAGATAAGGTTAACCGACTTCAAAAGATTCATAGAGTAGTCAATGTTTGCCTAACAGGCTCCTAACATGCTTACAGCGCGGACCTGGTTGCAAATATTGAAGACAGGGAAGCAAGTCTCCAGAATATCGAAGGCTCACCTTGTAGCGGGTGTTGATCCTGAATTGGAAGGTGGACAGCACAATCCTCTGCATGAGGACGTTGCGCAGGTCCAGGTACGTCCGAGTGGGCCGAACGGGGTTCTGCAGCGGTCAAGAACGAGTTTTAGCAAGGACTTAGTAGGGATTAGCTGGTGTGACAGCATTCCAGAGGAAAACCCTAGCAAGCAACCATTCGTTGAGACAAAAAGGCGATGAAAAGCGGGCAGACGAAAGATTGATAAAGAGCGACCGAAACTAAGGGCTGATGAGCAAGCAATTGGAAGGAAGCGCCGGGTGAACGTTGAGACTTTGCTAATCGAGTGAACGTCCCTGACGGCGTTGGTGAAAGGGTCAGAGATTGGTGACAAGTCCATCACTGGACATGGCCGGCTACGTTAGGTGGAACTTGTCAGAGCCTTAAGATGCTGTCTGGGGAGAATACATTTCATAAAAATACCCAAGCAAGCCGCAAGCAAGGGCGAGCAAGATCAGTCTAAAGAGTGCATAGGCTTTGAGCCTTTGTACAAGTGTGCGAACGAAATCTCTCTCAGGTTCAGTAAACAACGCTGCACTGGGTCTTTTGGACACCCCGAAACCACCTCTTGAACCCATTCTCCGCCAACCCCGACCCTCGAGTCTCAAGCCCCTGGTTCCAAATCCTTCAAATCTGGAATCCCTAGATATCCGATCCCTATTATTCTTGCCAGAGACAATTGTCGGAAAGGGCTGCAATATCGTTCTCAAACACCAACGAAAGTTTCACCCCTATTTCCCTCATATCCCTCGGATATTGTAATTCCAAACCCTTCCCAAATGCTCGATGCTAAGCATCCTTACCTTGCTGAAGACGTTCATTGAGAAGTGCTGCAGCAACTCGTGCTGGAACACCTGCGGAACCACTTCCAGACCCCGTTTCGCCGGGTAACCCGATTTTGCGTACTTGAGCATACTCTCGCTCGACCACTGGTGCTCCACCGGCGGCCGAATCGGGTGCCGCTCCTTCCGGATCGGCTCCGGAAGCGGCGGAAAAGGCGCAACCTCCTTTTTCGACAGCGGGTTAGGCTGGTGGTTTCCAACCGAGTTGAACAGAGAGCTGAGCGATTGCAGGGCCGCGTGCGAGGGTTTGATCGTTTCGGGGTTTGGGGAGTTGGAAGTCGTATGGGACGGGGATCGCGACGGGGAGAATCCGGAAAAAAGCGAGGGTTTGGGGTTCTGCGTTTCCGGGTTAGGGGTGTGGAGGCTCGCGGCGGCAGGGGACGTCGCGGGGTTTCGGTTCGGGTAGTAAACGGCGGGCGGGACTTTGGAGAACTGTTTGTGGATCAGGTCGAGCACGTGGTCCACGGGGCCGAAGTCGCCGACGATGAAGAGCGTCGCGTTTCCGGGGAAGTACCATCGCTTATGGAAAGCTTGGATGGTGGCGGAGTCCCATTTGGTGATCTGCTCCTCCAGGCCGATGGGGAAGCGGCACCCGAGCTTGTTCTCACTGTGCAGGTGCTGCAGGAGCTGCAGGGAGTAAGGGAGAGTGTGAACAGGCGCGCTGTGCCCTGTTCATATTGAGCAGCTGCTGAAGAAACCGCGAGAGAGTAAAAGATAATGAAAAGGCACGTATAAGCTCATTCCTAAACGAAAATCCAGTACTTGCTGAAAGGAGAGGGAGAATGAGCTTGTTCTTGCTTGTAAGTGCCAAGCCGTAGCACTACCAACGGCGCGGCAGGAAAAGATATCACTACAGAAGATTGGGTTAAGTTTGTCTAGGTCAACAGAAACCGAAATTACGAGTGAATAAGCAACAAGTGCCTGTAACATGATTTTCTCAGCCCAGCAAAGACAGGACGCAAATCCTGCCGCACCAAGCAGCAATGATAGGGAGATGCTGAAGCATAAGAAAGATCAAAACGACGCCTGCTTAAACAGCAGTACAATCCAATTCGGCAGTCGCTCTACTAGACATTATTCTCTGGTCGCTTTGAACACTTTGAGGAGCGTCGATCATGCAGAAGACCAGAGTAGTTGGGACTGAAGCCCTGATGAGCTGAGAGCCCAAAGCGCACTTGATCATGACATTTGACCAATTGCAACAACTACACAGCAGGAGAATCGAACTCAACGAACTCCACGATGTCAATCACAATTGCTGCATGATACGTACGCCGTTTCTTAAACTGCTGCGTGAACAGAGGACTCACCTGGCAGTCTACCCTGTAGTCAATGGTGTTCATCATTTGCAGCTCCGACAGCACCGCTTTCCTCTCCTTCTCGATCCGAGAGTCGGGGAACTCGGGCTGGAATGCAATCTGATGGAAGCGAGAGTGTAAAGAGTCAGGCAAAAGAAAGATCAAGGTGTTGAAAGCTCTCAAGAACGTAGTCTGGTAAGGAATCATCTCTAGTAACCGCCATGCTTTACTAAGCACTTGCTTGAAAAAGGAAGAAGTCTGGGTCATAACTGATCCAGAATCGGAAGTGTCCGACTCAACCGGAATCTTGCAAGATACAATCCGTGTCTTTCGCTCCGCTGCGAGGGGCCGATAGCAGAATTCAATACCTTAACCGCCAGACTACACAAGAGCGCATACTCATCGAAACTTCCACCCCACCCCAACATCTGGGCCATATGAAGGCGCAGCAAGGCTTTACAGAGGGAAACTAGCACTCGCTTCGCAGCAGAACCACCTCCACAGCGGATTAAAACAGTGCCTTTGAAGCGGTGACGTTTTGACTGTGCTATAGCATTCCGAGAACGGACGAAAAGCGACACAACCGCCATCTCCTCATGGTTTGGAACCGCATTTCATGCTCGTTTCTGCTTACCTCGTGCAGCGCGTCCAGCACGAGCGGCAGCAGCGCCTCTCCCGTCTCCTGCGACTTGACCGGGCTGTGTACATGGAACACTGTGTGGTGAAAATCGGTGTATGCGTTCGAGCGGGCCCCCGTGCCCAGGATGCGCTCCCGCTTCTTGCTCCCGAGGAACGTCACGTGCTCGATCAGATGCGCGACGCCTTGCTCGTGGTCCAACTCGTCGACGCTCCCCACGTGCATCTCCAGATGGGCCTCGAACCTAAAAGCGCGAACGCAAATCATGACGAGCTCATTTCGTCAATCAAGTCTAGAAACTTTATGTGACGCTCCCTACATGCATCTCTCACCGAGTCTAGATCTTGAGAAAAAAGGGAGCAAGAGGAGACGACAAAAGAATCGTTTGTTTTTCAAAAATGAAACTTCAAGAACAAATGGCAAACATACCTGTTAGGCGGCAGCGCATTCGGAAGGATCACGTAGCGAAGCCCGTTGTCAAGCTGTCCTCGGATGAGCCGCGGGTGTGTCGGCAGCGGTGTGTGCAAAAATTCTTCCCAGTTTGTGTTGTCGACAATCTGAAAGAAAACAAAACGGGTCCACATCAGAAAATGCTGGCTTTATGGTTAAGGGGTTTATCCTGTGAAGCGCATCTGGTGTAACCCGATCCTCTTCACAGCTACCGTATGGGCACAGGCAACAAAAGAAAGTTTGACACTCTGCCCCGAAACATCCAACCTGGTGAGATGCCCCATGCCCCGAATCGCCCTTGCAAAAAGGGAAGAAAACAGGGATACACACGGAGAAGGATTCTACGAGGCCGTCGAATGTCAGAATTATCAGAAAATGCAGGGAAAGGGGCACCACGGGAGTGCTAGTGAAGCGGCACCTAGGATCTTCCCCCTGACCCTGTGGTGCTAAGCGAATGCTACATCCTGCTATCCAGTGAAGAAGACTTTGATGGAGACCGTTGGGCTGCTGCTAAATCTGCCTGGCATATCACACAATTGGCCGAAAAAGCCTCCCCCTCTCCAAACATCGTGCAACAGGCCTCTGCAATGAAACTTCTTCACAGCGAAGGACTGTTGCCCTGAAACCTTACCATCTTCTAAACCTCAGGAGCCCACTCTCTTCGAACATAAAAGTTGAAAGTCTGTCGCCCAGTTCACAAAAGTTGCCCACACGATTCAAGCTGCCAACACACATGCAAGGGGTAGGTCACCAACGTCCTCCGGTCATCACTGTGAAGCTACACGCATCTTGGCGCCCCCAAACTGGACGAGACATGAGACGGCTTCAATCACGAGAGTGCGACCTACCTCTGAATCAAGGTACTCAGTCCTAGTGCTATTATCCTGTAGCGTCGCCACCGCGTGCAGGGGGGGCACCGGCCCCTCCGCTTTTGCCCCACTCCCTGCCCCCCCGGACCCCGTCTTCCGACTATCCTTAACTACGACATCCCTCCTTCTTTGGGGCCCCCGCAGAGGCGCGCACCCGAACCCTAAACCTCTCGCACTTTCTAACCCCTCATGTGTCTCCAGCGAGTCTGACAGCCGGCAGCAGGGGACCCCTCCTCTTAGAAACCCCACACCCCTCGTTGCTGATTCATGGCTTGGACCTCGATTCCGGGAGCGAAGCCCCGCCCCTAAAAATCCTGACCTCAGCTGTGTCTTTTGAAACACAGACTCGGACTTGCCTAAGGAAAGCTCCCGAGAAGCGGCCAAAGGTATTGGAACTACCGACTTTGCCGTGCCGGCACGAGGAAAGTTCCTAATGCTGGCTGCTTTTGTGGTTTGGAACTGGTGAATTTTGTGCGTCACCATCTGCGGCCTGCGCGCCGCAGGGCGAAAGGGCCTGCAGAAGTCTCAACGCTTTCACAAACTGTCCTTGGATAGCTTCCGGTTGCAACGGCTGGAAATTTTTCTGTTTCAAATTCTTATTGCTCGTGTGTAAAAGAAAACAACGCTCTGAGAGGTAGATACCCAGGTGACTAGGCGAAGCGGGGCAAGAGATGGCACACTTTTTACTGCCAACAGTGGCCTCCAAAGAAAGAGAAAAATCTGCTGGAGCCTCAAGGACTCGACCATTCTTGATGTGGCGCACTGCGTAAATTCGGCTGTTGTTGTTTTCAATGAGAAATTTCGAAAGGAGTCCACAGGAGCAACTCAAGAAAAACTCTCCCAACATCTGGAGTCCAAAATCAGAAAGGACGCTATGGAAACAGACCCTAGTACATTTTTTTCCAGCAATCCCAACCGCTTCCAAAGCAAGGACAGTTTCCATCCAGCAATCCCAACCGCTTCCAAAGCAAGGACAGTTTCCAACAAAACTTATTACTATTTCTCCACAATTGCAAGGAGCACCAGACCACAACAGGAGCTTACAGTCTCTGAACCGAAGAGAACCAAAATCTTGCAATCCAAATCCCTCAGAGAAAACGCTCCCATACTTGAAAGCCACCTTTTCTCCTCAAACTAGTCCACAATGCTCAATTCAGCTGCCTTCTGTACCATCTAAATTCTTCGGACATTGGTCAATTTCGCGCAAGCTTGAAATGCTAGTGTTCCAAACTCCCACTCCAACAACATGGTAAAGTGCAGATAATCCTCCAAGGTCTGCTTGTTGCAGACCGGCAGCAAAAACAATTCCTCTGCTCACTGATTAACCGCATCTCGCCTAAGAGTTCAAAGGTTACAACCAGATTTTACATCCTACCTGTTGCAAGTGCCATGTTCTGAAAGCCTATCCCCCACATGACGCCTGCCCCAAGTTTCCCGCTGTGCCACATGCAAAGCGGGCTGAACCCGCATACATACCGACGAGCCCGCCATTCCCAACACGCAAGCTCAATCTCTGGGCAACCCTGCCTGTGTCAAGCACGAGCTGTATGCCCTCTTCTTCACCTGCAAGCCCAACTACGGTACCTAGGAGAAACCCAGCTGCCGTCTCCTACGAACGTCAGTGGCTCCTCGACCTGCGCTCGGCCATTTCACGGCTCGCCATGCAGGGAGATCACGAGGGCCATGGCCTGTTCCGAGCTACCTACGGTATATCCGTGAAGTTGTCGACGTGGCGCTGATCTTCACAGAGGTTCAACATTATCGACAGATACCATTACCGTTTGGTAAGGATCTGGAGTGATTCTGGAGACATCCGCGACGGACAATTGACAACGGACAACGGACTCCGGACTTTCTTCAGCGCAACATTCGGATTTGCCTGACGTAAACAGGTCGTCAGCAGATCGCCGGTGCCATAAATGGTTCAACAAAAGTCGTACTGCCTCTATACGTGGCAGCACCAGATGCAAGAGCAGGTTATTTGAAAAGTACCAGACAGGGAGAGTACCAGACAGACAGGTGTCGGCCTCTGAAGCGTGGTTAGTTGTTTGCGGGTTCCATCCACCGCAAAAAGCGCCCAAAAAGCGATCAAAAAGCAGATCGCTCAAACTTTCTGCAAAAGGCGCACGCAGGCGCACTTCTTTGCAAGCATACCGGTATCGTGCCAAGTAGGTACACTGGCAGGGCGCGCCAGCAAGAAAGATGGCAGGTACCAATATGGTCTGAACAAGGATTGGTCCAGTCAGGGTGGAGTCGGTGCAGGGCTTCGTGGGACTTGGTGCTCATTTGTGACAGGCTAGTGAGGGAACACTCTTGCCTGATGCCAACAGCACTAGTTCAGGTTGGCAAAGTGCTTGCTAGCAAGTAGCTCGGAGACGAACCCTATCTTTGGGCGGGGGATAGTATTTGAAGGGGCAGGGATGCAGAAGGTGAATCTTCCACAGGGATGCAAAAGCTGATTCTTGCGCAGAGCTTTGCTTGTCTAGTTGAAAGACACCTGACAGAAACGAGGCTGCAACAAGTGTGTTGCAATCTAACCTAGACGGCAGCAGTGTGTGGTTTGAGTTGGAGCGGTTGCTGGATCTGGAGACGCTTGACGCTCATGGGTTTCAGGACCGATGCCTAGAGTCTCTCGTCGGGCCTTGGTCAACTGACTGAGCTTGATAGTAGTATTGGCCCTGTTGTTATCCACCAGAAGGTGAGTGTGATCACTCCAGGCCGACACCGTGCTCTGGGAAGTTAGCAACCCTCCGCTGAGGGGTTCCCACTCACTGAAATGCCTAGCTAATGGAAGTTGAGAAGCTTCAGCTTCTAATTCCAGACTGACAGATTCCCAGTGTGTAATGTCTGCGAGGCACAATGGGAGCCAGGCCTCAATAGGAGCCCAACCTGCCTTGTGCGAGGGTTTAAAATGTTGTGTGCTTCCCAAGTAGCCTTGAATATGAGCAAGCCACTCAAGTGTGATGTAAAGGAGTCCGGCCATGCTGAACAATAGGGTTCAGTTGACTAGAGAGCTTTTTGGATGGTGGGTTGAAGAGGGTGGTCAGCTTATAGTCTATGCACGTATACCGCACGTATATAGCATATTCGATTAGGGTTCAGTCAGGCTTGTGCCTTTCTGTTGCGGCTGGGACTTCAGGACTGCTTCGTTGTCTAGGCTGTGGCAGAATCGGACTCCCATCTATAATGAACTCTCGGTTGACATGCCACCTCACTCACTGTTCTCCCTTTTGTCGTAGGGCCCTCGGAGGATCTCTTGACAAACCCTCATTGTTGGCACCTCTCTGCTCTCGCAGGCGGTCATGAAGAGCCTCGAGGTAATCGTGGATAATGGATCTGGGATGACACCAATGCCAGTCCGCAGTGCAGCGCAGTCGCCCAAGGAAGAGGCGCCGTCAACAGGAGCGGAGGGGAAGCAAGGAACCGGGCCGCGTCCAAATTACTCGGTGCTCGTTGCCAGACTCGCTATCATCGTAAGTCATCTTGGGCCTGATGCACCTGTCTTCTGAATTGTAGATTCACTTCTAAGGGCATTTTAAACCATTCGGGCCTTCTTGCTGTTCTCCTTTGTGCTGGCTGCGTACCTCATCGCCGGGCATCATTGAAATGTATTCGGCAACTTGCCCAATCTGTCTTCGCGTACATCAGGCAAAGAGTAAGGCTGAGAGCTACCGCTGTGTGTTGGAGCTCGTGGCATCCTGTCAAGCTTCTTGAGTGTACCCATAGCTGTAGCAGAGTACGCGTCCCTTCGTAACAGCACGTCAGTCTCCAGAAGTTCTTGGTTAAAGTGTGCACCAAGCACTGTTCAGCTATGCAATACAAGACAGACGGTGATTTGACCGGAGACTTGCAATTTGCAAACAAGTGACCACTTGGTGTGCTCAACTTGCATTGGCAGAGGCAGACTCTCTATGGACTTTTGCAGTGGTCAAGGACGCTCTGTTCTGCCAAAGTCGATTCATTGCTGTCCTAGTAACTTCGAGCCTAGAACAACTCAGAAGCTTTTTAACAATGCAAAGCTCTTTGCTCCTGAAAGCCACCATTCATCCACAGTGAAGCTGACATTCCTCTTTTGTGTGCAGACGCTCTTTGCTGTGTCCGTCAGCCTCTTAACCATATTCACGTGGTTCTGGACGTCTCAGAGCACGAAGAATGCTGTGAACAGCCTCGGGTCGTCTATCAGGTGAGGACCCTTACTTTAGTCTAAGCAGACATGCTGCTGAGAGCAGAATCTTCTGTAGAAACCCGACTTTTGCTCTCTACAATCTGGGAGTTCAAGCACATGGAGAGATTTGCGTCATTCGGCTTGGAAGCATTTACTTACTTACTTCAACATTCCAGAAATGCCAACGAGTCCAGAACATGGCCGGAACATTGCTGTATTCCGTGCTTTTGTCAGAATGGTGCTTGGTTACCTGTGGTCACAAGCTTCTGGAACAAGCCCGCAAGGTTTCATAATAACTGTTTACCATGTTATTAATCCTCTATCCAGTAGGTTGCTAGTGCCGCTTCAAGTTAATCAAGAAGGCATTATATTGATGCAAGGTGCTTAACCGCACAGCTGGCACATGCTTGGCGCTCCGCTGGAGCCACATTTGGCCATTTTGACAAGGATTCTGGTTTTACACTTTTTTGCGCATAAAAGCACTGGACTATATCAAGAAACGTATGCTTTTCTGCGCAGGCATGAAATCCTCAACCGCTCAGCCGGACACATGCTCCGGGTATTGTCTGACCAGGCTGCGGCACTTCATTCGACTGAAGAGGCATGTTACTACCAGTATCAGCTGACGGGAGCTGTCATGGGCGAGCAGGTAAGCAGCAAAGCCTTCTGTGTTAGTCGTAGGGATGAACCAGAAGAGGTTAAAAGTTTGAGAGGATTGTGGTATATTGCTGGAAAGCCTTCGGCTTTGGCACCTTCGAGTAGATGCCAGATGAAAGAAGTGCTGAGCAACTATGATTCAAGTTGGACTGCTATGTCTGTCGCGTCCCTCAGTTTATTCATGCTAAAGGTCTCAGCCTCATTGCACCCGGCCCGTCTTTGAGGACAGTGGCTTATTGATTTGTAAAGATAGCTTTCGCTAACAATCAAACTTTTACTATGATCAGAAAATTGGCCGAGAAGAAGAGGGTCCTCACGCTAAGCCTAGACTGTGGCACTCGAGGAGCTAGCTTTCAGAAATACGTTTTGAGGGGCAAACCGCTTTCACTTGAGCACAGGTTCACACATAGGTGCGGCCATACAGCCCAATACTTGTATGAAAGCCAGATGTCAACTATTATGCTTGTTTTCCAGATGCGGAGGCAAGTCTGGGGTGTCGTATCCAACCGGAACTACGATCTGAAGTGTTCAACGCATGATGGGTCGGGCAAGTACTCTTACGTGAATCCAGAAACAGTATCCGGGGTGCGGAGATACACAGAGGTCTTCTCAAACACGACGTGAGTTGATTCTACGATCTGGATGTGCACAGGTTCTCTCTGTTGCCAAGTATGCTAGAGCGGAACGGTCGATGAAAGTTGTCAGACTTGTGCCAGAAGCTGAGGGACTTGTTAGTCCGAAAGGAATTGCGTTGCAGATGTTGAGTGGACATGACAATGCTGTGCTGGTAAAAGACTTTCTAAAAGCTGTCAGAATCTCTCAAAGAGCCTGATGGCCCGCCTCTTTCAGAGCAGGAATTAAAAGGAGACACCAAGCTCCATAGCAGCGCAGGAATTACTCATATAACATAAGCAAGCAGTGAACTACATCCCTTGGGAACATCTTTGCGTGCGGACCGGAAGACAGGTAGAAACATCAGAGACAGCACCGATACATTCATATGAAATCTTGATTCTTATACCGGGATTGAGCTGCGGCGTTGGCAGAACAGACTGCCCCGCTGTACTCAGCAGTGCAGACTCGTCATTCTCTTCTGATCCTTGGAAGGAAGTACATCCTACAGAGCACTCCCCTCCTATTGGTGTCTTTTTTGACATTCTGTAGTACTTCCCTTGGGGGGGTGACAAATGGCCTACAAAGTCTCCCTCAACTCCGCTGGCCAGTTATTCTTACCTCCGCATTGTGCACAAACGCGCTCTACAGAGCATCATTCCCCTCATTTTTTAAGCTCTGCAGCACGCTTGGGGGGAATCGCGAATGGCCTACAAAGTCTCCCTCCACTCCACTGGCCAACTTTTTCTCTCTTCCGTATCCCGCACAAATGCGCCTTCCTGAGGACTCCCTTTCCATTTTTGGACCTTGGTCCCTGCAGCACGCCCCTAAGGGGTGGTCGAATGGCAAACTGTACAAAGTAACCTTTGACTCTACTGGCCAACTTTCCTCCCCTCGTTTTGTGCACAATTCGCCCTACTGCGCACTTCTCTTCATCTCTAACCTCGTATGCTCTGCAGCACGCCCCTGGGGGGGTGGCAAATGGCCTACAAAGCTCTCCTCGACTTCACCTTCTCTCTTTCCTTTCTGCCGTTTGGTGCACAGAGTCGCCCCATTGCGCACTTCCCCTCATCTCTATCCTCGTATGCTCTGCAGTACGCCCCTCGGGGGGTGGCAAATGGCTTACAAAGTCTCCCTTGACGCCAATGGCCAGCGTCTGGGGCAAGCCGCACCGTTTGAGACCGTTCCCGACAAGCGGCTGAGACCGTACTACACAGGCGCTCACAATCTGTCCGCTGGGGACGTGTTTTGGAGCACTCTCTACTCAGATCAGCAGTTTCCCGTTATGGTCGCTTCCACTCCCCTGAGGGACAACGTGTCTGGGACTTTCCTGGGGGTCAACGCCGTTTCGCAGGCGCTCAGAGACCTGAGCGACTACAGTTCACTATTCGACCTCAAAGGGGGTAAGTGATGCCCGTCCCTCCCTCCTTGAATCAAGTGCTGTTTAATAGCGACTGCCTGCTTTCATCCCCTTTCACTATCGGCTCTTTTCGAGATTCTGTGAGGACAGAGTTGAAGAGCAGTACCATTATACTGCCACTTTAAATCTATGAACGTTCTTCATGAAGAAGCTTGGTGGCCCGGTGCCGTTGGCTTTTCTTTATGGTTGGAAGCCTGCTAGTATTTTTCATCTCCTAAACCTACTCAACCTGTCACTCTGCAAGTTTCAACCCCTTCCACCGCATGATCAACGCTGTGTTTTGCATAACATCTCAATCATGAAGCTCCTCACCTTAGACACGAACAGAAGCGAAACCCTACACTAAAAGCAGCAACCCTTGTATCCACCTGCTTCGGGAGCATTCCTCAATTTCGTGAGCAATAAGCCCAGTGAACAGTAAGCCTTCTGCGTCAATGGAAACCCTAATCTAAAAGATCAACCGCTCTGCACCCGTTCCCACCCTAACCCCCTAACTGACCCTACCCGTCTCCGTTGCTGTTCACTGGCCGTTACTGTTCACTACATCGATCGGGTTGCTCCGGACCTGTACCCACCCTTGACCCCCTGAAAGAATCCCCACCAAGCTGAGGCTTGCACCGTTACTCTCCCTGATGCTTGCAGACCAAAATTGAAACGTCCTGCTGACTAACTATTCTGCCTCCTCACGTTTTGCCTCCTCGTTCATCAGGAGTATTGTACTTCAAAACGGCCGACGACGTTCTGCTCGCGAAATCGGGGCCGATCGACGACTTTCTGATAGGAGGTCGCCTGCGGAGGGCCAACGAGTCATTAAACCCTACTGTTCGGGCTGCAGAGGCTTTCGTGACGGAGACGTAAGCATCTTCCGGCCTTGCTTCAAAGAGCATGAGCTTGCTCCGAGATATTTTGACGCTGAGCTGGATGCAAGAATCTTGTTGTTGGTCCTGGGCGCCTGTCGTTAGAACTTTGTCGCTGCTGCTGCTGAAGTTTGTCGGCAGCCTCCATCCGATTAATCAGCGTTCTGACAGAAGTTGCATACCGGTTAACGTATGTTGCTACTGTGAAAACTTAAGTGCTTTGCGGACACATCAAAAGGGGCCCGAGCAGGTGGTTGGAGCCACTCGTTGTCGTTTCCATCGCATCCGAGGTCGATTTGCCTGGCTCTGGATCTGTTGAGAGTTTGGTTCGTTTCTTTGTACGGTCCGTGCTAATCGAGCTAGGAGATGTAATGACGTGAACTTGTGAAGACGTTGCCAAAAGCGGAGCTGGCGGGCAATGATGCAAGAAGGCATCTTCTGTTATACTACTTTTCAGTAAGGGTCGCTTCGAAAGTTGCTGGCACGTGCGGTAGGGGTTGAGTGCTGGTCAATGAGGAGGAAATATGTCTTCCTTTGTTGGAAAGAAGAATATGAGATTATCTCCTCGTAATCTGCAGAGTACACCTGCCATTACGAGCACCTAGTCTTGCAATGCTCGGAAGGCCATCTCGAAGGCACTTGAAAGGCGGCGAGGGATGCTTGAGTGCATAGCCCCGTGTCACTGTTTAGTCCCTCGTTTGTACTCTTTCCTGGCCTCGCCCCTTTCTGTTATCACCTTCCCCACAACCCGGTCCTTCACCTCCAGCCGATATGCTGTCACTGCCGCCCTTTCGCTACAAGTGCAGGTGGGGTATGCAGCACGTCCGGCAGAAGGCACCGATTCAAATCTGTTGGGTTGTCGAACCTCGTACACCCTGCTGCCCATTTCTTTCAATAACCTCCTTCACAACCCGGTCCTCGAACTCCTGGCTTGAGTGACGTCATTGCTGCCACTTCGCTTACCTTTCCAGGTGGGGTATGCAGCACCTGCTCTTTACTCCGAGGGAAGCCACCGACACAACTATTCGGTCGTCAATTACCAAATGAATTTCTTTTCTTTTTGAAAACCCTCTCCATAACCCGGCCCTCAATCTCCATCTTGACACTGACCTCACCGCTGCCCTTCGCTCACCTTTGCAGGTGGGGTTTGCAGCACCTGCTCTCTACTAGGACGGAAGCTGCTGACGTGACTCTGGGCAAGTTGCGATATTATGTAGACACGGTGCCTATTCGGCTCAACAATCTCATGGTCGTCGCTGTGGTAGCAATCCCACGGTACGCATTGACACGGTTTTTTCTTTTCAGTTTTTCGAGTCATGCGTATCCTGAATCTTATCTATGCAGCTTCGGGTTTTGAGATGAAGGATCTGGGACATTGACGACGTTGGTCGGGTCTGGTGCGACCAACCTCTCAAGAAGAGTGATGCAGAGAAGGATGCTTGTTTTGAGTAAGGAACGGTCACTCGCAGTCTTTCCTGCCAGTTCTGCGCAATTTTCGAAGTCCATTGCAGACTCACAGCGAAGTCCTTGGAGATTTACCTGCTTTTTGGAAGTAAGTAGAGGCATTTTGCGTCTTTACTTCTTGCTGCCTTTGCATTTTCAGAAGCAGCAAGAGACGCAGCTTCGGGGGGTCACTGCGCTCTATATCAGGCACGTTACTGGCTCAAGTTTCGCTCGATATCAAGTACGTATGTTGGTTTTATAAGCGGCCCCAACATCAGGCACGCGTGTTGGCTCAATATGTGCCCAGATTGCAGACACTCATGTTGGCTCAGTATGCGCCCATATCTCTGCAGGGCAAATTTTTTTGGGGGTCATCAATGCGCGAAGTTGCGCGACTCCGGCTATCTTTCGTTTTGAGCACGCAGTTGGGCTATTTTGCTCATGTGTGCCGACATTCTTGCAGAACAAGCATTATGGGGGTCATCGACGAGCGGAGCCGCGCCACCGTGATCTTCCTCGTCTCTCTGTCCGTTGCCATCTTCGCTCTGGGGTGCGTACTGGTGGTCTTCTTCACGGTGCGCGTCTCAAGGGAAGTGAAGCTCAAGGCCGAACTAGACGCGGCGAAACGGCGGGCGGAAGCGCACAGTCAGGTGAGTAGCGGTTTTTAATGAGCTGCCAATGAAGCCCCAATCCGATTCGGTTACCTTCATTTCTGCTGATGTTCCTGAAGGTCCACTACTTCCGTATGTGTGACCGTTTTCGTCACTATTGGTTTGAACTTTGCCCTTCCTAGGTCAGATTGGGGCATCTTTTGAGCTCAAACCTGTTCTCTTCAGTGAGACGAGTGAACCCTTCCTCAAGTTGGCGGAGTAGTCCTACCAACCGAGTGGGCACGGCCTTCGATCTGGTGCAAAGCTTTGGCTACCCAGCAAGCTGCTTCTCGACTCATTCTGGGCACATTGATTTGTTGCACAATGATTTGATTTGCTCAGCAAGCTTTTCTGCTAATTCCCTTGGCATTGTGCTGTGCAGGCCAAGAGCATGTTCCTGAGCAACGTGTCCCACGAGTTGCGGACTCCAATGGCGGGGATCATGGGGCTGCTGGACCTCTTAGCAGCTGAAGAGCTCCAGCCAGAACAGGCCGTAAGTCCCAATTAGCGGATTCTTTTCGCAACGCTCACTGGAACGATCTCGATTTCATTTGTCGTCGCAGTTTGTCAAGTCTCCACATGTTCCAGCATTTGAAACATGCGTGTCGGGAACTGCGATCTTAACATGTCTCATCACTTGTGTTGATGCGTTTGCTGTGGGGTCTTACAGGTCAACGTGGCTCAGATCAAGCAGTGTGCAACGAGCCTCTTGGGCCTCCTCAACAACTTGTTGGATCTCGGAAAGGTAAGCGGAACTCGCAGGCAGCGCGCCAACTGTGGAATGGAACAGGATACGGTCCTGTCGTCTTCTCTTCGTTCCCTTGATAATGCTTTTCCGGACTTTTACGGATTGCTTGGGAAGCTTTGAGAAGCCAACGCTGCAAGATCTTCGTGGATCTGCTATAATGAAAAATACCATTGGACCATGGTACAAAATTTAGTAGTTCTGAGGCTGCTCGCTTGACAGCGAGCTAGGCAGGTTGGTAGAAAGGTTTAGACTTCTGGCTGTGACTGCGTTCTGCATCACCTTTTCCTGGTTATAGATCTGCAGACTGACTCAGCTTCACTCACCCGTATTAAAGAGCGATGGCATGGTCCTCGACATGGGAGACTTGTTCTTGGCCGACTGTCCGTCTTGCGTGACAAGGCATTTTCTGTCTCCGTGGCTAACTCCTGCGGATCCAGTGGTTGCATTTCTTCAGTAGGTACAAGTCGTCCGAAATCGATGAGGCTTGCAGTAGTCCTACTTATTTAAGCGCCCTTCAAAGCTTGCGAACCTTGAAGCATCAGTCTATAGAGTCTCAACCTTTTGAACCTTTTGAACCAGTGAACTTCTCATTCCCAACACTTACAAAAGTTAGACGGGAAGGTCTGGCCGGTCCTCATTACATTTTGGACCTGTAAAGTTTTCACACCCTATCTCATTTCCTCGCAGATCGAAGCGGGGCGTCTAGAATTAGAGAAGGCCGACTTCGACATCACGGCCGAGCTCGAGTCCATTGTCGACATGTTCGCGGTGCAATGTAGCAAGAAAGGTATTGAAATTGGTCTTGATTTGCCCGGGGACATGGACCGGTTAGTGAAAGGCGACCAGGCTCGGGTGCGACAAGTGGTCGTCAATCTGCTGTCGAACGCCGTCAAGTTCTCGTCGGTTGGCGGGCACATTCTCGTCAGGTGGGCACCTTCGTATATCTGAGATCGCTGACCTTGATGCAACCCTTTCTCCGCTACTCCCTCTTTCCTTCTCCGTTTCGCGAGTTGCCGGTCAAAGCCTTGCGTTCATTGCGTCACGCTGAAGTCTGTTCCGTCTTTGTCCGTGCCGTTGAAAGGGTTGCTCACCTCCTGTTTCAATCAATTGCTTGTCATTGTCTTGCCTGTCTCGTCGTTCTGTGTTCTGTGTTCGTCTCCTTCCTTTTGCCTTCTTTGTCTCACCCTTTCTCCTGCTCTCTTGTTCCCAGGGCATGGCCCATCCCCTTTCCCCAAACCGAGCTTGCGCCTGCCGGCCCCCCCGACTCGCCCAACGCAAAGACCCCCCGAGAAAACGGCGGGTGGTTTTCGCCCTGCTCCCCATCCCCAAAATCGGCTCCCCCGGTTCCTTCCGCGGCGAAAAGGGGGTACACTTTTGAGGTGGACGACAGCGGGATAGGGATCCCCCCGGAAAAGCGGGAGAAGGTGTTTGAGAACTTCGTGCAAGCCGGTGAGAAGGTCGTGTCCACGTGTGCGCCTTTCTTTAGGTCGAAAAACCTTGGAGATTGCTTCTTATGAAAGACTCCTCTACTAGTCAACAACGACGGAACGGTTGTATCTGTTCGAAGCCCTTGGGTCATGAATGGGTTGGTCTTATCTCTGTTTCATGAAGGTGTCCGCTACAGAAGCCATCGAAATGATTTTTCGTCAGCAAGAGCGCTCAGGGTAAGATTTAAAACCTGGAAAATGTTAAGGAGATCTGAGGGAAGTCGGATTGACTGCAGGTATCGAATGGCTGGATTCCGCTGCTTTTTCCCTTCTCTGAGGTGGCAGAATCGCGAGCTTTTGTCACGAGCGCGTGCACTTGGTTGTCACAAAGCATCTTTCGGCGGGTATTTGTTGAAAGACGTGCAGGGACGAAGGCAGCCTCTTTGAGACGGCGTCTCAAGCCTAGGCAACTGTCTACCCCTGCAAACAAAGACGACACACCATCACACGTTGCGTACACACTTCTCACCCCATGCCAGCCTCAGTCGAAAGGGACTTTTCTTCTTACCGCTTGAGCTCCGTTCTGGAAAGGTCTTTCAAACCTGCGGCTAGCGAACAAGAAAGCGCATCGATGCGGGAGCTCAAACCCGACTGCTGCTTTGGTCGCAGATTCCTCTACCACGCGAACGCATGGCGGGACGGGGCTTGGACTGGGCATCGTTCGGTCGCTTGGTGAGTTTTGGTCAAAGGGCCCAAGCATCTGGTTGCAGAGCTTCTGACAAAAGTTACGGCCAAAGTAGACCATCCTGTGCAAGTTTGGAGACTCCTTTGCGTAAGTGTACGTGTCGAAGCACCGGCGTATGCGAAAGAGAATGGAAGGCAAGCTGCAGTGAGTGCTCAAGGGTCAGTCAAAGGATGCAGGAATATGGTGCTTCTGTCAAAGTCCACTTTGGTAAGGACAAGGGCCGTTTTGACGCCTTGGCTGAAATGCTTTTCCGGGGCCTGTTGCCATTTGGGCAGCAAGCCCGTCATTGAGCATCATACTCGTGTCGTGGGGCTCGTTCCGCCCCACGATAAGTGGATGATTTTTCTCACTCGGAAAGCTTTGGTAGGTCTGGGGCTCATGCTCAATCATGCACGAACAGATCTCAGCTTATTCAGGGCAACGGCAAGACTAGATTCCTTCTTCAGGGTTTCACCATTGTGTCTCAACGTGGGATTGTGCATTTGTCAATGTATCCGAACCCTGAAAGTTCGTTCGTTCATTTGCAGTTCGAATGATGGGTGGAGACATCCAGATCGTAGACAAGGACGGGCCGGGTACGCTGATGCGGTTCACCATCTACTTTGAGGAGTCAGAAACGGCAGCGGAACAGCCGGGAACAAGCCTGGATGACGTCAGAGAGGGCCACGTGTTTCTGGCGATGGAGGGCGACGTCGGGCGTGGCATTGCCGAAAGGTTGGTCGCCTTGACACAAGAAATGTGAAGTGCTAGGAGGTTTTGGTTGGGTTGGCGGGCCCACCTTGGCGTTTGGTATCTTTTTAATTAATAAAAGCCGTTATTGGTCTGGCAGTTTCCTAAAAGCTTTGCATATCGTCCGTGCTTGGACCAAAAATGCCTTGTGTGAAGGCGCCAGCGGCTTCTTTCTCAGGCGGGGTAGCTCAACTATGGTTATCAATAGTTCTCATGTGCAAGTCACGGGAGCCCCTCTGACAGTAGCGGCACGGAATCAAAGTCCAGCAAGATCCGCGTATGGACGGCAGAAATAGGGCTCCGTAAGAGGACGCTCGCGTTGACTCTGCCTTGCTGATTCGTCAAACGTGCTGACCGACCTTGAGATCAGGATCCGGGTCGTCATATCTTTTGAGCGAATTGGTGCACGGTCGTCCAAGGTGCGACGAGGTTATTGATCAATTGGAGCCGGCCCAGCAATCTTGAATAATTTGTATACGCGATCGCTTATCGTGTCGGTCTGCTGCTTCTTTCCAGGTACCTGACGGCCCAGGGGCTGACTGTGCAAACGGTACGAACGCTGGGAGCACACCCGTCGGAGCTTCTTGCCGGTCATGATGTGGAAGGTAAGCAATGATTGGAATGCGCAAGTTATTTAGCTTCGGTGCTTGCGACCCGATCATCCGTGTGACACATCTTCTTTTGACAAATCTCTACACTTATGTTGTTCGAAACGCTACCAAGACGCTCGGTGAATGCTAAGCAGACAAGGTCGAAGTCAGTGACGGACCAGTCATTTGAGATGCCGATCTTGATCTTCTGTGCGGATGTGGCCACCTGGGCGAAGCCGGAAAGTTTACAACTTCGCTGTTAGCGCGCCAGGATTCTGCGCAGTTCCTGGTGTATCTCTTCTATCCACACAGAACTGCCGTACAGTGATCATTATCAACTTTGCACATCCAGGCTGATGATAAGTATGCAAGTCCAGCTAAAACTCTCGCCTTTGTTCCGTTACAGCGGGACAGCCGGTATTTATGCTTCTTGATGCGAGCGCTCTCGACGGCGCGATCTTGGGCGACCTCCGCAACTTACAAGCGTTTCTCGCTGAGTTGTCTGCGCTTCAACACAAAGCAAGCATCGCTTGGCTAACTTCGCCGTCTACCCCCAGTCCTGTCAGACAGGTAAGTAACTGTCAAGAAGGATCGCATGTGGCAATACTACTTCTTGTTGTTCCCTATTACTGTCCGCAGTCTTGTTCACTAGGTAAGGAAGTGTCAAGAAGGAACACACGTGGCAATGCTAGTTCTTGTTGTTCCCTAGTGCTGACCGTAGTCCTCTCAGAAAGGTGAGCAACTGTCAAGGAGAATCACATGTGGGATGCTTGTGATCCCTATTGCTGACGTCAGTCGCCTACTCCCTGGTGGGCACTTTCAAGGATCTTCCGTCATGCACCGAGTGGTTGAGCTCGTCTCTGCCTGGATTCGCTTCTTGTCTCTCCCTCAATACTCATTTCTCCCCTAGAAGGGTCTCTTTAGCCAAAACACCCACCCACTCCCATCGCAGCCTGTCTTTCCAGCCCTTTCGTTACCGCGTTTTTGCTGTCCTAAAGAAGCTCGTTGCTGCAAAGACGATTCCATTGATGAAGAATCCATTTTGAACGAGAAGCATTCACCCTGTGTTGTGACCATCCGCCCTGTATCCTCAGTCTTGTCCAAGGAAATCGTTTTCTCTCCAAAGTTGTCCAAATATATTCACGGTGTAAAAGCCGAGAAATCGCAACTTATCATATTTTGTCTTTTTGTCTTTCGCAGCTGCTGAAGTCCGCCTTCCCCGTTGCAAGCAAACCTCTCTACAATACCCGCCTCTCAACTCTCCTTCGCTTGATGATCGCCCGGTCAGGCGCTTCGCCTTTCTGCAACACTCCCGAGTCTCAGCACGAAGAGACGCTTCCCCTAGAGAACCGTAACGTATTCGGAGCCGTTTCCGGAGCCGACACGGCTTCAGAACTAAGTGCTGGAAGCGACTCCTCAAGATTTACGGAAACTTCGAGCCTTCTCCCTACATCACCGCTAATATCGCCTCTAGGAGGAGCTTTAGGCACACACTTAAAGCCAGCTCCGAGGTCCTCGTCCCATGCCGAGGCGTCAAGCTTAGCAGCAGGCGGGCGTCAGACCCCTCTCCGACGTGCGCAGTCGCAACCCCTGGCCGGCCTGCGAGTCCTTGTCGCTGAAGATACGCCCATCTTGCAGGTGAGTGGTGTCTCTGAATGGATGAGATTCTTTAATCTGGGCTTGCTTTTCATCAGTAGAAGGCTCTTGTAGGCGGTCACCCTTTGTTTGCAAAATCCAGAAGGACCCAGCGTTTGTTTTGGTTCGGAATGTCTCGGGGCAAGGGGTTTCGCCCCGAAGACCGTCCATTCAGTGTGCTGAATAGGAGACAATCTTAATTGAGTGCCAGACATTTGCAACGGAGTCAGCATTCCATTGTCCGACGCATGCAAGGGCCCGAGCATTGCAGCCCCTTGCAAACCACTAATAGGCATGACTTCGGACAGGAGCCAGTGTTCGCTCGCGACCCCCCTTAGGAACCCGAGCGCATCGGAGCATCTGCCTCGCAGCCTGTGCGAGTCTCGCCAATTCCATGCAGTCATTTTCCGTCCTTCCGCAATGAACGCTTATCAAATTATCCTCTCACCACGAAACGTGGGCGTTCATTGTATTCACGCCGGTCGCTCGTTATCTTTGTGCAGAAGCTTGCTGTTAAGATGCTGACAAAGCTGGGAGCGTCGGTGCATTGCGTTGAGGACGGGCAACAGGCAGCTGCGGCTGTCATTGGGTCGGGCGAAGCGAACCATCAAAATGCATTCGATGCGGTTTTGATGGATTGTCAGGTGAGGAGAAGCATAATCCACTGCGCCCGCCGATGTCATCCCTGATTGGGGCTTGTTCTAAACCGACTCCAGAACCCTGCGTGATGACTTTGAACGGCAGCTTTGAGTGTGCGAGTTTGTTTCCGAGCTGTGCATGACATGCTTGCATTGAATTAGACTGACAAATGCACCATCAAAGAACATAGTCTAGGGGGTCGCTCAGGGCACATACATTGGTGATCAGATGCTGCGCTTGATGGTGTATTTTGGAATTGAGAATGCACTTTACCTCATATCGGATATTCTGGCAAAAGACAAGCGAACAGATCCACCTAAGATCTAAGCATCACCGTGGGATGTTGCGTCAGAACCTCCTCGGATTGCTTTGCACTTACAGGACGAATTACAATTCAGACAATAACATCTATATCCCCTCTGCTCCTTGCCAGATGCCAAACGTGGACGGGTATCAAGCCACAGAAGCGATCCGGCAGGCCGAAGCCGGCTTGGGGCGTTACACTCCGATCATTGCGCTCACGGCACATGCCATGGCGTCGGACAGAGACAAATGCTTGGCATGCGGCATGGACGGCTACCTTAGCAAACCCATCCTACAAAAAGACCTTGTGTCAACTTTGACATCAGTCATTAAAGACAGGAAGAGGGAGACTTGACGAAGATCAGGTATAGGTGCATTGTAAGTAAGTGAATGTCATCAATAGCGGAAGCGTCAAAACTCAATTGTGAGTACAGGTGCACTGCATAATGGTCAAGTAGTTGCATGATCAGCGGATTGGTCAAATACGTTTCGGGTATCCACTTGCATTGAGGGTGTAGGTGCACAAGGTTGGTCCGGATTAGTGGCTCTTGTCGATCTTCACCTCCGGGATTTGACGAGCACATAGAGAGCATAAAACGCGAATTGGGGGTTTGTCGATGGCGGTGTACGTTGGCGGCTTCTTGTTGACTAGGTACTGCATCAGTCCGGTACTATAAGTGCAGTTTTAGTCAGCAAAGAAACAAGTACTGTACGTTGGACATGACGCGACGAAACTAATGATTGCCCATTACACGTTGGATGACTTATTTGCGGAAAGTCGCAAAAAAAGTACATGCATCTAGAGGTCGACGGTCCACCCTCTCTCTAGCTATTAGACGGTCCTATAGCGGTCTAGGCTCTAGAGTCTAGCAGGCTAGCCTAGAACTCTAGCGATCTAGGACAAGGATTTTACCGGGATGTCCTTGTGCAGCTCGACCATCTTCATCGTTGGTACGAAGCAAACCTTGTCAATTCGCCGTCTATATTTAGTGACCTGCGAGCACCGGGGTCCGGTCCTGGGCGAAGCTGCAAAGTGCAGGCCGCCCGGCGCGAGGCTTGCATGACCGGCGCGGCCCACTTGCGGCCGGATGGCAGATGCGCTCGCCGCTGCTATTTCGGCCAGATACAGAACTTAGGCCAAGCTACCTACCCCGGGCATGAGCGCTGCCAGGCTCCAGCGCTTATGTATGCCCGGCTGATTATCACCGGTGTCATATTTTTGTGTACAGTCGGCCTCGATGCCCGGGTGGCAACCTACCGCACGTGCCACTGACATCAAACCTGCTCAGTGCTACTTCGATCCTGACGTATGCCTGCCAGACGTATGCCTGACGTATGTGCACACTGCTGAATCAGGCCCTGGCCCGCCGGTCCTGGACTAGGACTCAGGACTCGGGAGTCAGGACTCGGAGCCGAAGGCTGCGGCGCCCCCAATGCGCGCCACTATCTTTATAATATGACATTGATACCGTAGTGACTACGGAGAGCTCGTGCAGCTGACAGTTGACCAAGAACTACAAAGTTCGTCCAGGTAGCTGCCTGATGGTGGTCCTGTATGGCTTCAAGCTCCAAGACAGATGCAAAGGGCTTCCGCATTCGACGTTATGTTCTGCTCTCCAAACGCCTGTTCTTGGTGAACCTCAGGCGCATAACCTTGTCGCTGGCAGTGCTTGCTGCGTTCTATCAGCTTTGCTGGTTCATAAGTCTTCGTTTGGACCCAGTCAATGACACAAGTAGCAACCGCTTCCAAGGAGATGGAACGCACAAGCGCCAAGGAAGACGGGAGACACTTCACGAATGCAGCGGGGACCAGTTCTTTCATCAAGAAACAACATTGGCATCTCCTTCCTCCTGTCGCTTCGTTCCACATTCCATCCCAGCCATTGGCAAAACGGACCCCCGTCTAAAGAGACCGAATGACTTCTGCAACCAAGATGAACTCTGCGCGATGCAACTAGAGCAAGTGTGCCTGACCCGCCGAGACCTGAGTCCGCCGCACCCGACCGCCAGCTCTTATGAGGCAGGTCAGCCCTACATAGACGTAGTAGGACTAGGTCGGGAGTGCGCACAGGTGCAAGGACGGGCGGCAATGTATGGTGGTCGCTCGTGTTGGCACATGGGGAAACGGTTGCCGATCAACATGGCGGGTCCCCTTCCAGAGGGGGGGGTGCTGCAGCCCGAGGGACAGCGTATCATCTGGAAGCCAAAGACGTTCATTGTGTACTGCGCACAAGAAGGGTGAGGCAACAGGTGCTGATACTGATCTTTTGTTGGTCTTCTACCAGCGGTGTTTCTTCCCTTCTTTCTTCTTGGCTAACTGTTGATTCTTGGATTTCTTGGTTCTTGGATTTCTTGGTTCTTGCTTCTTGGTTCTTGGTCCTTGGTTCTTGGTTCTTGGTTCTTGGATTTTCATTCGCTTGTTGAAAGGAATCTGTTCCAGAAAGGGTAAGATGGCCAGTGACTTGATATGACTTTACACCGATATTTCAGAATGGGCCAAAGTGACTGCTTGACGACTTGATATAATTCTTTTGCTGCTCCTTTTAAACAGTCTTGAATGTCTCTATTCTTTCCTCTTACAGAATTGAAGCGTTTTCATCAGGAAGTCAGATACCTGTGTAGTTGCCAAAGGTTCTTTGCTTTTGCGTTTTCTTCCCTTAGTACAAGCATATGCACCCTCTGTAGTTCTATAAGAGATTTGTTGAAAAGGCTTCAAGTTGCCACAGCGAATGAGTGGAAATTCGGCAGACGACTCTCTCCTTCAAGTCTTTCCTCAAAGAGGTAGGTCCTAAGGCAACGGAAAAAGCACGTTCTGGAAAAGGGCAAGGGCATCTTCTAGCCAGCCTCAGCGTTTGAAGAACAAGAATGAGGTTAGCAGAAGCTCGTTGAGTCGGAAGAGGTGGAGTTGCGACAAGAAAGGGCTTGGTTACATAAGAGGCGAGCTCAAGAATCGTGTCTCAAACCATTCTCATGACTGAAATTGGCAACAAGCAAGGGCCCTCGTCAACTTTGGTTCGTGATAAGATTGACAGATGTACAGAAGATCGATCTTTAAGTCTCGCGCAATTTGAAGGACAGCTATTGCGCTCTGCATCGCTTCTACCAACAGTGCATGCCAAGCCTTCGGACTGCACACTATCAGAGAGCTGCAATTGCATCTTTTCGAGATGTGGCGCGATAAGGAATAGTATGCCCAGTCGTGAGAGAAGTGACACATCAGACGTGGACTGCATCAAAAGCCCAACATTTATAAAAGCAGCTTGCTTGATCCTTGCTAGCTCCAGCAGTTGCCGACCAGCCCTGTAAGAGGACAGGTGAAACTCACGGCCAACACGGTAACATAACCAGCCTACTGCCATGAGAATGAGGAACAAGAGCATTCTGAAAACATTGTTTCTTCACTACGATGACAAAAGCAAAGCTTCTATTTTTCGACTTTTTTCCTGATTGGAATGGGTGAAACCCCAACCGCTCATCACATTTTCGGTGTCTTTAGTGTGCAAAAATCGACGACTGATCTACTCCACTAATTCCGTAATCAGCGTCATTGACATGATAACTCCAAAGGTGCTGACCAAGATTCCTCTTACAGGTGCGACTACAACTTTTTCCACTCGATGGGGCTCGCTTATTACTCCACTTATGTTGCCTTGCAAAAGCTGGGGCTCGAATCCTTAGAGGGGATCCACGTGGAATTCTACGAGTGTCTCTCCGGGAAACCGAACGAAATCAAGAGCCCCGAACTTATTGCAACAGCCCGAGAACGGCACACGGTCTTTATGGAAGCATTCCGCCCCGCGAGCATCAATTTCGTCGACATCGAACTGCAGAACACATCGCAGCACTTGGGATGTTACGAGAGCGTTTACTTTGTCGGGAACGAGGGGTGGCCGTGGCACTGCCGAACGACCGACACGAGCGAAGACCCCATGCTCGCCGGGTTTGTTAACCTCGTCACAGAGGCGCTCGGGTTTGGCAGCAAACCGCCGCTCCCGGAAAAGGACCGCGTGTTGTATTTCAAGCGGGAAAACACGGTCAGGACGCTGCTCAACACGAAGGAAGTCGAGGCGGCGTTCCCGGTGCCGTATTCGATCTACGCGCCTGGAAGCAGTACCCGAACGTATAGGGAACGGCTGAGGGAGATTATTGGCATGACCAGGAACGCGAGCATCATTTTCGGGATGCACGGCGCGGGGCTGACGAACGCGATTTTTGCGGCGCCGGACGCAGTCGTGATCGAGGTCACGAACTGCTACTGGCGGATTCCGCTGTACCGGAACCTGGCCGTGCTGACCGGAAAGAACTACCTGGAGTCGGTGAGGTGCCTAAATATTCTTCTCCAGCTCTTTCCTGAGTACTCGTGGTACTCATGCTGATTGCGTGCTCGTTACCCGTCTATCGGGGGTTCTCCGTTCCCTTCATGCTGCCATATTTCCTCTTTACTGCTTCCTTTCTGAACAGGCCGACTGAAAGTGCCGGTAATTGCTCGTCTTCGATATTCCGATAGCCCCTGTTCTTTTGAATCCGTTCGATCAATCAATTTTCCTGGGTTCCTGCTGTTACCACGTTTCACGAATTGAATCTTCCTTCTACCTTCAAGAAGTACGATCTTCGTGTGCTTGTTCCCGCAGGGACGTCATCTCAATACGCGGTTCTCTTTGCAGACTTTCTACTCGTTCTGTCATTAAATGGTTGTCCGTTGCTCTCCCTCGATGCCGTTCTTGAAATCAGAACGATCTATGAAACCCTTTGTGTCCTCGTTCACGAAGTAGCCTTGAATTAGGCGCTTTGCAGTATCAAATTCAAGGCCACGTGTGACTTGTCGCAGGTCGTTGCACTCGACGAAGGTTGCAAGACTCTTGGGGAGAACCCGGAGTTCATGGAGCATCATGGGGAGCACCTCACGATTCCTTTGAATGACTTCGCCAGCGTTTTCGACCAGGCTCGGATCATCCTGCAGAGGGCGCGAAGCAGACAAAGACATACGGCTCGAACTTTGTGATTCTTTAGGGTAGGTATTACTTAATTGTGTAGCTCGCGCGTAGCTTTGAAAATGTGTATAGGTACAGCATCCAAACATAATCTTTTGCCATAATTTGCCGCAGCCAAGGTTTTAAAGTTCAGTAGGTGTTTGAATGCAGGCTTTCGCGCACCAAAACATTATCGACAAGCTTTTATATCAAAGTAGCTTTGCTGTAGTCTTGCTAAGCCGGCTGGTTGCCCCGCCGCAATCGGAGACTTCTTGTAGTGGATGCCGGCCTCGGATTGAGGAGGTTAGGGCTCTTACCAAGTTGAATCGAGTCTTTGAGGGCCAACGGAGAGACCTTCTCCAAGCTTAATCTTTGAGTCTATGCTGATACACGTTTAGTTCGTTAGTAGACCGCCTAGCTTCACTGCGCTGCAAGTCCTCGCCGCGCGGCCAGCCGTAAAATTAGGCTACATACATGACCAACGTTTGTCAACCGCATTCTAGAGTCCTGGTCGCCGCGCACCACTCATGTGCACTGCACAGTCGCATAATCATTCTTGTAACGAGCTAGGCTGCTGATCAGTTGAACTGATTGATTGGGCTTACAGCCTGGGGTCGAGAACCCTCGTAATCGGATTGAATCAGCTCTCATCATGGCATATATACACACGTACGTAGAATGCATGATCGAACATAGCGCACTGCAGCTTATCATGCAGCCTAGCGCCGCGTGCATGCAGACGGTACGTGTGAGGAATTGGCCGCATGTCTGGCACGCAAGCCAAATAAAGCATGTCACACATGTGCACTGGCAGAAAATTGTACGTACCCGAGAGTGACCGAGACCATGTGACGTACAATCGCATGCATGATTGCACTACCATGCATTCTATAGCTGAGTGGGCATGAGCTAGCTGTTACCAGTGGTGGTACATCATATCCAATTCTTCTTCTACGGGGCCGGCCGATTACCGAATGAAGAGCGGCGGCAGCTACGTGCACCCACCATGTTTAATCTGATCAGAACTGCTCCCGAGATGAACTCCCACATCAACTGAGAACATCTTGGAATCCGTATCACCTGCAAACGCACGGCCCCGGCCGCCAGCTAGCTGAGCGAGTGACCGTCCGACAGCTCGCATGATAGAAACTCGTAAACGATGGTAAGAATGTCATTGCTTTAGACGTGTACGTTGTAGTAGTACTACTATAACTCGAGCTCCTGAAAAGCACAACATATCAATTCGGAAGTGACAGGTTGATTTTGTACGACCTCAACAAAGATGTAGCACCTTCCTGCCAGGCTGCAAGACGCCTCATATCCTTGTCTCGGTTTACAGTAAAAACATACGGCCAGCACCTTTCTGCTGGACTTACAGGACTCACATCAACTTCCTAAGACTATTCCATATACGCTGGTTTTAATTGACTCTTTGAAAAGCCTCGGTGGAGGTCACAGGCTCTTCAAATATCTTATACGTTTTTGGATCCAAGAATTGCAGTCAACTTGACCGGACAGTAATCACCTCCGAGCAATAAAGTTTGTAGCTTAACATTGCATCTTAGACGGACGGGGACGGGTAGATCTGCTGGAAGTCCTGGGTAGCGTAAGGCGGCGTGGCAAACGCATCGAGGGCCTTGTATGTGGAGATAGTGCCGTTGGCCGACAGGGTGATCACACGTGCGCGCCGGGGGAAGCCTGCGAGAAAGAAGACCAATTTTGCTGCGGAAACCTGCACACAATCTGCCAACCTAGCCCACTTAGCAGCTGCTAGCCAGAGCGCCTTCTACCAAAGAAATCCTGACTGAGTTGGATTGTCTGGCCCTTAAGCATTGAGTCAACTTAAGAGCCCAGAATAACTGATTATGAAGCGTTTCTGAACGATTCAGCATCATGGGCTCTCCGTCTCTTATCATTGAACTAGTACGGACAAAAGGGCCACACAGAGGCCGCAAGGTTAACAGGCAAGGCTATAAGCTTCGCTGTGCTTGGACTTCTGCAGAACCTTGAGGTGGGGACAGATACACACACAAAGCTTGAGCCCTTACGAACCTCCACTTAGAAATTGCTAGTGTAATGGTATGCGGGGCGAGAAAGTAAACGGAGAGACAAAATTCGCAAAGGCAAAAGCGAGGAACGCGCGGAACAAGCGTTCCTCCGCTGCAGCAACGGCGTTCTTCCAGTTCCGTTCGTTCCGCTCACCTTCCGTGTTGTACGCATGGTATCCAAACCCGCCGGCATAGCAGAACTGCACGCCCTGGAACGAGGCGCAGTAGTCGTTGACGTGGTCGTGACCCACGTTCATCATCTTGATGTCACCGCGCTCAACGATGGCGGCCAGCAGACCGGAGTTGACGCTGGCACTGTACACGCCCTCCTGCTTGACGCCATAGCAGGTCTGCAAAAAAGTGTCAAGCGAACCGGAGTTAAGAAGGATTATGGTTAAGGTGTCCACAGACCGGAGTTGACGCTGGCATTGTAGACGCCCTCCTGCTTGACGCCATAGCAGGTCTGGGAAACAGTGTCAAAAGGACAAGCGTCAGCGGCATAAATTTTTATTGACACAGTTTTACCGGCGCTAAGAGGACGGGGAGTGGACGCTGGCACTGTAGACGCCCTCCTGCTTGATGCCGTAGCAGGCCTGGGAAATAATGTCAAACGAACGGGCCTTGAGACATTGAGACGGGTCGTTCTCATATGATAAGTTTGTCGTTGGCAAGAAAACAGAGTTGCAGCAGGAGATTTAGACGTCATCTCTGCCAAACGACGACGTAGGAGGTTCGTAGAGAAGTGTCAAAGTGATAAGCCTGAATTTGGCGGGCTTCGATTGACGCGAAGGGAACGGAAATTGAAAGGGGGGACTGGCGCGGGCTTTGTAGGATGATTGCTTACGTGGTTAGCGCCACCAGTCTGAGATCTAAGGTATGCAGCTAAGCTCCGGTCCGGCAAGCGTGGTGCCGTTTCCAAAATCGGCAAAAGACGTCATGCTGGTTGGACCCTTGGTGACTTGAATTAAGTGTTTTAACCCACAAAAGTTGAACCCAAGGGGAACCCCCTAAACGAAAAAGCCTTGTTGCTCAAGGATGACTCCTTACTTGGTTAGTGCAACCGGTCTGGGTCTTGAGCCCCGTTCCGGCGAGCGTGGTTCCGTTTCCGAAGTCGGCGAAAGAGGTCCTGCTGGGCTGACCGTTGCTGACGGCAGTGCAAGCGCAGGTGAAGGCGTTCTCGTACTCGGGGATGGGGATGTGGTAGAAGCCGACGGCGGTGACGTTCTGGCCGCCGTTCTGCATAAGCGTTACGGCGCAAGTGAGTTGTCAGGCAAAAGACGCATCTTCTGTCTATGGGTTCCAGCTGGTTAGTTGAAGCAGGGACGACCAAAACGGCTTCTGAAGAAAGCGACAACCGACTGGATGCCGAAATGGAATCAACCAAAGTGAACGACTCCGGAACGAGTGCAATTACTCAGTGCGTTAACTCATAGGAGTGCTCCTAAGCTCGTCAAAGCTCATATTGCATTGGGCAAAATGTGCCGTCGCACAACTTCCAGTACACTGGGATTAAAGCCGCGCATAACAATGTCGAGACGGGTGCATCTTTGAAAGAAGTTTTGATTATGATACTTCGCCGAAATGGCAGCTTCACAGACGGCTATTGAGGGCGTAACCTAAGCAAAATGGCGATTGTCCAAGTCGAAGCGGATCTTACCTGCTTCTCAACGGCACGTGACGTCTGGTTGTACCACGTGATCTGGTTGGCATGGATCCAGCCGTAGCTGCCCTTCAGACGTCCGGTGACGTCATAGCTGCCGCTGTCCAGCAGGTACAGGACGAACTTGGGCTTGCCGCTGGCGTCATTGATGGCGTAAGCATAGGTACCGGTTCCGAAGAGGCCCTGTCGAGTCACAGAAGGAAGTCGCTAGTCAGAATTAGTCCGGTCTATGCCTTCTGTGTCGATTAAATCAAATCGCGGGTCCGACTCAGAACATCTGCTGTATGCGAATCTGGAGACATCGTTCAAACTTCCTCTAGGAGACGAGTTTGGAAAGAGGGCGGAATCTCAACTAAATCTAAAGCCGCGGGAAAGGATGCGCTGAATGCTTAATACAGCACAATCCAATCTTCAAGCGATCAGATCTGCCTCCTTGACGACAATTAACGGTAGATTTGCTGACCCTGTCTTCCAAGGTTGACAAATCTGCCACCAGCGAGCAATTGTACTGGCTCAAACTCCACCAAGCCGAATCAATCACCACGGATCCTCGACGCCTATGCTACGAGGCAGAGGACCACAGACCCCAAGCTTTAGCACGTCTCTAGGCCACCCATTTAAGAGCTAGCTGACGATGTTTCTAAAGCCTTCAATGGTCCAGTAACTTCTTGAGTACCTGTGCCCAGTCCGCCCGGATTCCGTTCAATTTGCCTAGTATTCCCAGTTCCATGCTATCACGAGCTGTAGGGCCGGCTTCACCACACACTTACGCCCAAAACCCTTACGAAAGGAAAGCTCGAACCATCATTGAAACCAAGCCCCCATGCTCAAGATTCAAGGCCAAGGTTACGGCAGGTCCAAGCCTTTGGATCAATCATGTAAATCATCAGCCCTCACCTTCGGCCCCGGCTTGGAGAGGCTCATCGGGCTCTCCATATCGACGGTCATAAGTGTTTCACGTGTCACGGTCGCGTTGGTCGCCTTTGCCACCTCGTCGTCGTGGTTGCCGAAGATGGTCATGAAAGGAATGTTGCGCGCCTCAACCTGTTGCATCGAGAGCAAAAGAATTGAACCTGTTTGACTTCGACTGTCCATTTGGACACGGTTGTATCTTACTACGAGCCCTGACTCAGCCCTTCCATGTTCGGTTCTGCATAAATGATGAGAGCATGCGAATCTCAGATACATGAGTTAACCCGGATTGCAAGCACGAAAATCTGGCGGCAGAGATGGCTGTCTTTCCGGAAGCAGCTGATGATGATGTAACGATGCCGGGCTACATTTGGGTTCACAACAAATAGTTGCAGAGTCAGTCATAGCTTACTACGACAAGTGCAAACAGAGATTCTTGAAGTTGTTAACTTTAATTCGTCAAGTCGTACCGGCTTCCTCCATGCGCGCTGGCTGACGGCGTGGTCGTTGACGTCAGGAGCCATGATGTTGTCCCCAGTGAAGACCACCAGATCGGGCTTCTCCCTGAGACATACGTCAAGGAGTCAGAATGTGCTAGGGCTAAGGTGAGAGACTATTGCGCCAGCACCTCTGGAACGTGCTTTCTAAGCTTGCCTTTCAGGTGATAATTAAGGAACACCACCTGTTGTGCGAGATGTTCTCTCATGAGGTGAATTGAGGAGAGCAATTACGCCTAAGTGCTCGAGTTGAAGGTCAGAGGTTAGGGCATTCTCACAATGTTGCAACAATGCAACAAGTTGGTCTGAGATCCCGCAGAAACGAAACCTTTTCTTGTCATCCGAGGGCCTCATCTTGATTGGCGACTCAGGTTTCCATACGAAATCTCTTTTTCCATCTGAGGACCTCATCTGATCGAAGACTGGTTTCTCAATCATCTGCTGGTGGACTTGGTGGTCTTTGGTTACTATGATCTACCTCCCATTCCGAGTATCGTAAGATGCTTCTTGCAGATTATGAAGGCTCTTTACTCTCAAAGGCTTTTGCAGCCTTCAATGCACAGTCTCCAAAAGGAGACTGTGATTCAATTACTATTTGCATATGAGCTTCCTGTACTGACTGGTCAAGGAGGACGCCCAGGAAGTCGGTGGTGTTGACGTCACTGCAGCTGCCGGCAGCGGCCCACTCAGGCAGAAGGTTCAGGCACCGGGAAGTGCCGTTGCCGTAGTGCATATCAGCCACCTGCAGAAGCACATAAGCGATGGAATCGCCAGATACGAGATTGGACGCTCAAAAGTTGCATGCTGGACGGGAGTGAATCCAGGCACTGGGGTGCCATTGTCGAAGTCATCACAACTACCTGCAGAGCAGTACGAGATGCAAAGCGTGTGAAAGGCCCCCAATGTCTGGGATGCGAAGTTCGGACTCAAGTTAGAGAGGGTCCAGGCGGCGAGAAGCGCCAATCTCTAATCAGCCTCCTGGAATGCCTCATGGGATTTACTGGCAGCCTGGGAAAGTAAAGTTCTTGGCACGGCGCTTGAGTTGTTAAGTGCGTACAGCATAGCAGTAACATGTGGCCAGTCTTTGAGGAGATGGAAAGATGTTGTTTCAATGACCTGAGAAAGCAGTCAAAACCTGATCCAGGTATGCACAGCAGCCAATAAGTTAGAGTCCTGGCAGCCGTAAGGATGACAGGAAACTTGGATGTGTAAAAGCGAACAGGGTTCTAGCTATCATGTGTGACAGTCCTGGCCTGCTGTACTCAAAACAATCTTTTTTATCAGCTCAAAGCATCCCCCAAGTACCGTACACTGTCATATCTGCAGAATGAAGCAGAACTTGTTTGGCCCTCTCTTTATTGACTCCCAAAGCTGGAGCTAGAATCAGCGAGAACTGTTTGGCAGGGGATGTGGTCTATGAGATGAGTGTGGCACTGCCTTTACTACTCGTGTGTGAGCTGCTGGCTCAGCAATGTGTAGAGTATTCCCAGGTTGAGCCATTAGCTCCTTGACCCGAAGGAAGCGAGATGCCAATTGGCATTACTTACCTAAGCTATCAGAGAGAAAGGCAGTTTGCTCATATGACGCTCTTGGGAATCTGTGTCATGATCATGACTCAGAGAGGTGGTTCTAGAAGTCTCTTTCCAATCTCGTCTTGCCTATACTGCCACTGTACTCCGTTTCAACCTGTTCAACACATGTCGAGCTCATTGCAGTTGAGATGAGAGTATAACCTCAGCAAGGTTCCCACAGGTCACTGTTGATGCCCTTCACCTTCTTTCCCAGACTAATCCTGATTTGCTTGACAAAACATTGTCGATGATTTATCTATCCAAGCTGAGGCAAGCTTTTCCTCTTGGGATCTTTCAGTGTTGTGCTTGAAATTGTCTGGTAATATCTGTTGCATTCACCTGGAGGATCTTGAAGCTGGTCTTGTTTGCAGAAAAGGCCAGGCGGGGATCGGTGTACGGCAAGTACGCTTGTTCCTCGGGCGTCAAAGCGGACGAGTTGCTGGAGGACCGGGTTGTGGTTGGGGCTGACGCAGGGCCTTGTGCGCCTGTAAAATTGGATGCATTCTCATGGTCATTCTCGAAGCTGACTGTACTTATGAGAGCTGACGACCACGCACAACATCCATGGACATCTTGATCCTACAGAGTATCCATCGATAACCTTTAACAATGAGGAGGAGGAGGAAAACCTGGGACCTCAGTGGTGTTGAGAGCGTGATTGTTCCCAGACTGAAGGTTATACACTCTGTTGAATCTCAACATCTGGTAAGCTAGTCAAAGAAAAACGTTGCATGATGTTGGACACAAACAATCAGGATCAGCTCGCTGCGCAGATTGACAAGGTTTGTTTGAGCTGCTCTAGTGGAACCGTAGCAAAGGAGTCTGCATAGATGCTAAATGCTTAGTTCGCTGAGCTGACTTACCTGCGAAACCGATGCTGACGGCCAAGACCCCCGCCAGAAGGACAAGAGTCTTCATTGTGACAGCCATTGCGCCGAATCTGCGTGAACATGTTGCACGAGTCTTATCTCAAGATTGCAGCACAAGGCCAACCCCAAGAGTTGCTCTAAACCAATCTGGTAGGATCTCAACTTGCCTCGGACATGTTCAAGACACAAAAAAACGGAAGGACACGTCTCATTGCTAGGCTGCCAAAAGACTACCATGTCAGACTCAAAAAGCTTTTCCCATGCTGACGCTTCCTTTAAGATAAGGTGACTTTGGTTGCAGGGGTTCCGTCTCATTGGACATTGTCAATCGCTTCGATAATTTGATTACATGAGCCAGATTCTAATGTGCGCGTGTTGCATCAAATCAAAAAAGAAGACTTCAGAAATCAGAATTGCCGAAGGCACCAGCAGCTTGCTCAAAACACACACAGACAGCCTCAACAAAACAATTCTCACCTTGAGGTAAGCTAGCTACAATCTGCTCCGATTGATAGAGTGGTGCTGCCTAGCCGTCCTAGCTTGCCAATTGTTGCCCTTCCGCCACTACTACTACGTCGCACTGAGCAGCATGCGTTTGGATAGAGAAGATTCAAGAGACTTGTTTGGTTGCTGAATTCTTACACGAGAGCTCAGCAAACGTAGCACTTGAGGTTTTTCGAGCAAGACATCAACCGGTAGACCAATCTTAGCAGGCTGGAGGGTGGACCTGGAGTATACCGGTACTGTATGCATATGTAAGAGTCGGAGGTAAGACCCTGCAGGATTGATGTGCCTGCTTGTGTGCCATTGAGCAGGTGAGAAACCTCCATTACGGTCGTTTGCCCAACCCTGAAGACAGTACCGAGCCTGGTATTTATAGAAGTACCTACCGTACTTACATAGGACTACTACGGGTAGCTCGCTTACCAGATGCTTGCTCGCGATGCGCGCAGTGTGCGCTCAGCCTTGCTTTGATGATTCGCGATGCTGCCTAGGCCACCAGGGTTTATGATTTATCCTTGTTCACATGGAAGGTATGTCGACATCTCAGGGAATCTTGGCCCCTGCATATCACGTGGCAGCCTATGAGAGGACAGCATGACGCTCCATGACGTGGGCAGATTCTAAGTGACGGGAAAGCTGCCGGGAATGCGAATATTCGCGATGCCGTCCCGGGGAATCTCGACAGTCCAAAGGAGAACGGAGAACAGGGGGATCATCTTACTCGATCGAGTTTCACAACTCCCCCCATGGGAAGTCACATGAAACTCAAGAAAAATAATAGTAAGCCCAGATAATAGTAAGGTAACCGTACTGTGACGGGTAGGGTTAGTATGGTGGTTAGGGTGGGTACGGGTGCGGAGCGGGTGTTTCAATTATGGTTAGGGTTTTTTAGTGTTAGTCGGAGCTTACTATTATCTTGGCTTACTATTATCTTTCTTGAGAGTCATGGAAGTCACTTCGCTTGCGCTGTGGTCGATCCTATGCGGTGAGGTTTGCTAGCTGAGCTCAGCCCAGGCAGCGGGTAGGTACTCGCCTTCCGGCCCCCCGGGTGTCCGAGCTCGACCTGCTTCGGAGCCGCCCGGAGGATGTGAACATCGAAAGAATCTATGCCGGCCTGCCTTGCACCAGTGGCAGTTCGGTAGGCGTAGAAGAGGCATAGGCAGCTACCTACCCCGGTTTCCCTAGTCCAGGCCCCCGACTCCATATGCCTAGCAATTGCATCTTGCAGCTCCGTCCTTGCCCGCAGCACATCAGCATTTACTGCAGGCGAGCTGACAGCGCTTACATTGTGTCCCCGGGCCCAATCAATGCAGATCTTTAGCTTACTTGATGAGGCGAAGGAAAACATTTTACCTGCTTCGCATTCGTGCACCTGAATAAATCTACCCGTCCTGATGTTTATAAAAGAGCCCTAATACCCCTGTTACTTTAGACCAATCCATGCAGATCCACACTAGCGTCTAGAGCTAGGTTTAGATTTGGGCGGCTTGCATTGGGCACCGGGGGGCTTGACAATATGTTAGGCTTGGGCCGGCCTCCAGCTGAGTCTATGAATGATGCTCGATTCGCTGAATTCAGATCCGCATTGCTGATCTTACCTGCGGACCTCTTCTAGTCCTGGTGCGGTATTGGCAGCTGGACTGATCCAAATTGACAGCTGGCGCCCGGCCCAGCAATGCCGGCCCGCTGGCTGCTTGGAGTGCTCATGCATGCATCATGATTCACGAGTCATGATGAGGATGACTCCGTCCGTCTGAATCTTAGCGTAATTTTGCGCATCATTCGATGCCGAATCCCTCTCCTTCGCATTGGTCTTCGAAGGCTGAAGCGGGACAAAGCTTTCGTGCCTCGGACTTCAAGACGGATGGAATCCTTTCGTGGAATCTGAGCTAGGATTGGTCACTCAGATAAGTTAGCTTGGTGGACCTTGAAAGTTGGTTCAGGATCACATTCACGGTACACCTGAGTAGACATAAGTACGCCATCCAAAGTAGGCAGGACTAACACCAGTAGGTACAGCAAGATTGGCGAGCTTCTAAAGTCATGAGGTCTGCAGCTGGGATTGCGCAGCTGGTAGGAAGGGTATAAAGTGCACGAATAGATGGCCCACTCTTTAAGGTAGCTTTCTGCATTTTCCCTTCAGCTGGTGATCAGCTGTGGTGCTCTTCCCCAGCTGAGCCAATGGCGGCCCGCACCGCTTTGGCGGCCCTTGTGGCCCTTGTGTGCGCTGCTTCCGTGGCATCCGAGATCGACCTTGTCCAGAACATGGCCTACTTGAAGCCCATCGTGAATGCTGCTGAAGACATCGCTGCGGCGGTTCAGGAGCCCGTTGCTGGGGCAGGTGTGGGGCGCAAACTGCTGCAGACGTAAGATCAAATCCGCCTCAGTATCTAGTGCTGCTTTCAAGCCAAAGAGTGTGATGCTTATCAAGTCCTCTTGATCCACGGAGAATCCAAACTCGTTGCTTTGTGGTTGATACATTGAAAGGGCTACCTCTCTCGAAGCTTATTAGTTTGAAGTCATTTTGATTGGAAGTAAGAGCCAATCGTTGGGCAGGGGCCGGTCGCAAGCTGCTTCAGGGGTCACAAACCCTTGAGGATTGAACCCTTTCAGCTCAGGGATTGGAAATCCCAAGCTCGTTGCTTTTGACATTTCGTTGCTGGTGTGATGGCAGCTGAATGTTTCTGAGGGTTTCTCTAGGCACTAAGAACAGCAGCACTTGACTTTGAGGGGTTTTACTCTTAACCTTTATTCCTGGCTGTATATGAGCAATAATAACTATAAAAGCTGTTCCTAACGAGCTTGACTCACTAATCCTTCCCTCCATCGGCATTACTTGCCCTCGCATCAGAGTGAAGCTGAAAGCAGAAGGCCAATGCGTGGCTACTTCAGAGGGAACTAAGGAAGAAGCTCTGAAGATACAAAAGCAGAAGTTCATGTTGATCGTTCAAAGAAAAGAGAGGCTGTATCATGTTTCACTCCTGGCTGACCATGTATCTATGTAAGCTTCCTGGAAGTTAGTGAAGCAACAAGAGGATGCTGGATTCCTTGCATGCAAGTTGATCGAGCTGCTTAGCCCACGTTCTGAAACAGAGCAAAATACAGCAGGTGCCAGTTCAGAACTTGAGACCCTGTCCTGTCAATACAGGTCGTAGAAGCTGTCCTATGTTCCAGGAATGCTTTTGTACATTCGCATATCAACCCCGTGTACCCCAACGTCAACAAAACCCTCAGCCTTAACGCTGTGACAGATTCCAGACAAATCTTCTGATCTTGGTCACAAGAGTACTAAATCAAGCAGCTGCGTGATTTTGCCCTTGGTAAGACACTCCATCGACTGGTCTTGCCCACCCTTCTGAACCCCTCCCCCTTGTTGACATTATGCAGCAGCCCCCTTGTTGATGACCTCACCGTTCCCCGCTCCTTCCAGTACGGGGTTGCCAGTGGTGATCCTTTGGTAAGAGAGACGCCCCAACAACCGCCTTCCTCTTGTGTTTTCCACACTCAATCATTCAATTTCTGATTATGATCGTACCCCTGATCGTTGGCCTTGTTTGTCGCTCCTTAACTGTTGCAAAGAGGCAGCATAGTACGCATCTGTTATGTCTGGATTTGAGATGATTGATTGGGGAGTCCGTTTTGTGCTTGTGTTATATGCATTCTTTGACAGCTTCCTGACAGATGAAGGACAGTATGAAAGTTGCTTACTGCATTCTCCCTGTCCCCTCTTGTCCGTTCCTCCTTGTATTTGTCCAGTTTTTGGGGTGTAAGCTCTTAAGGGTGACTTTGATTCAGAAGTCCTCCTTCTGAATTGTCATATTCTTATGAGAAAGGCAGGCTTAGATTGCTCTGCCTGGGGCCTTTCCCCTTTCATCTTAAACAACAATGAATCCGACGACATGAATCAAAATGAAGGTCGATTCACTTCTCCAGAACTGAGAACAAGCAAATGAAGGTCCCTGTATTCACTCATTTGTCCTGACCAACTCAGTGAAACAACACATAAGTAGACTCTGAGCTTTGTAAAAGCCTGATGAAGTTGAGTCTAGCCCTCCACTATCAGATTGCTCTGAGGTTTCCATGTCTGAATGACCATTTTCCTCAACTCCAGTTGTGGTTGATGTACCAGTCCTGACTCGATCTCTGTATTCAATGTCTGCAGCCCAACCAGGTCATCCTCTGGACACGTGTCACTCCTGTGCCCTCTGATCAGCGTGCTCTGGTCTACTTCCGGGTTGCCACTGACTCCAGCCTTAACACAATTGTGACCCAAGGGGGTGAGCCTCAGTCCTAGAAAAGCCTTGAACGCTTGCTTGTACAAGGAGGAATAGTTGTTTTCAAGGCCTGTTACGTCATTCGAGTTCAGATCTTTTGTGGTGTTGACAAAAGCTAGCTTCACACACACTGATCATGCAGGGGTTCTCTTTCTAGTGTCTGGCGAAGTCATGAATGATGCAATGTTTGCAATGATCAGCACTTTCCCTACTTGCAGTTTGTTCTTTGCCGTGCATGTACAAAGTTACTCCTTCTTTCTAAGACGATGTCTTCTCATCTGGTTGCAGCTGTTGCAACCGACTCCGGCGTCGACTGGACTGTCAAGGTGGATGTGACTGGTAAGCATTCGACGAGTAGATTCTCTGTCGACATCTCCATTCTCTATCCTCCAGTTTGTTTAGTTGCCATCTTGCAGAATTAGCCTGGATCAAGCAAGTCAAGAGTCCGGAAGAATGCCGAGGAGAAGCACCGTCCTTGCAACATTGGTCCCTCCCTTCTTGGTTGCAAAGCCCCAAGGGAATCCCGCTCCGATACCTTGCGCCAGCTTCTCACTCCCCTCAAAATTTGCCTTGTAGGCTCTAATATTGTGTTCCTCTAGAGATCACGAACTTTGGGTGGACCGCAGCGCAACTCTTGATCTGGTTTCTTTCGCTCTGACCCCGAAGCCCTTCTTGAAGCTGACTGGCCTAAGTACTCAAATTGTAACGAGTGTGATTCAAACCTACATGAGCACAAACGTTTTCTCCTGCCACGTCCTCAGGTCTGATCGGCTTAGCAACAACTTGATCACCAATTAACAGCTGTTCGATTGCAGGTTGATTAACTATCATCACGCGAGTCAGCCGTTGCTCTCAATGCTTCCCACTTCCGCTCAAACTCTTGCTACTTGCGATTCATCAGGAGCACCTTCAAGCAAATCCAGATCAAGCTCTACTGCTGTTCCATATTGCCTTTCATTCGAAGAGCACGGTTATCAGTAAACTCTTTGCCAGAGAGCTGGCACGACCTACTCATTTCACTCATCTCTCCAGCAACGACGAAACCCAGGATAACCACGCCTTAAACACAGACAAACCAAATCTTAACCCGCTTTTTGTCCAGGCCTGACCCCCGGCACGACCTACTACTACCAGTTCACGAGCGGCAGCGCCAAGTCCGCCGTCGGCCGCACGCGCACCCTGCCCGTCGGCGACGTCGACCACGCGCGCATTGCCTACATGACGTGCTCCCAGTACCCCTCAGGGTTAGCTCAACTACCCTCCTTTTTTTGTTTTGACCAGAACCTTTGTGCTTCCGCTTTTGCCCCCTGTATCTTCTCGAGAATTTGGGCAGCCGCACGCACACACTGCCTACATGACGTGCTCCCAGTATCCTTCGGGGTTAGCTTAACAACCCGGTTCCTTTCCTGGAAGATACTGTCTTCTCATCTCCATTCTTGACCCGTGTACGATACATTGTCGAGAATTTCTTTCGTATTGCGTCCATGACGTGCTCCCAGTACCCCTGCGGGTTAGTGTAACCACCCTCGTTTTGCTTTTGAACCACTATCAGCTTCACTGTACGCGCTTTTGTCACGTGTACCTTGACGAGATCTCGAGCGCCCTTCTGTCATCCTCTGTTCCTGTTCGTGAGCTGCAGTTTTGCCGGGATACTTTTAAAGGGCGTCTACTTTTTCGCCGATCTCCCGATGTTTCAACAGGCAGCGTGAATTCTATTCGAGCTTGTCGAACTTGCAAAGGACCAAGAATTTGGATTCGATTGAAAGACAATCTCGCCAAACCACTTCCGCAGCCGAAGGGTCGCCCAAGTGGTGATACTATCGACTTCTGAATCTATGGCGCTTTCCACAAAGGCGAGAGGCGCTAAGTGACCAATCCAATCGCCTGTGCCCGATGCCTCCGATCCGCTTCTTACCGGTCAAACAACTCAAAGTCGGTTTGACGGTGCAAACCCACGTGTTTCCTGTCGGTTAGGGCGGAATCCGAGGAGGTTTTCTGAACTTCCTTGATCCTGTCTGAACCCTCTCTGAACCCTGCGAGCCTTTAACTTTTTCAAATCGTAAACCTTCTTAACTCCTTGCGCCTAACCCCCCTGACACCCTCTTAACCCACAGGTACTTCAACGCCTACGGCCACGTGGCCACCCAGCCCGACCTCGTGGCTGTGCTCCATCTGGGCGACTACTTCTACGAGTATGCCGCTCGCCCCGGTGAGAACACGCACCAAACACTGGAAAACCCCTTTTTGCAAGGCGCAAAGAACCCGCTATTCTCACACTCAGTCTCTTCGGTGCGGGCCGCCGTATTGAATCAGTCTACGAGTCTGAGGTCGAGTTCCAGGGATGCGTAATCTTAAAGGGCTTGCCTGTACGTCGCCTTTGTATCCGATCAGATCCCCTGAACGAGGAGTCAGAACCAAAATCTACGGTCGAAGCGAGTGCCGAGATTACGGAAGATATGCCGAATACTTTGTCCTGCCGTCTTTGCTTGCTGCGTCTACGATGCAGTGTCAACCCTTTGCGCAGTCTGATCGTATACTTATTTCCACGTCTGCTTCGCCCAAACGTCTGTGGTTCGAGTTCTGCCTCTGGAAGGGTAAAGAAACACCCCACTGACACTGCTACGAGACTGTCAGCTTTTGCCGCCGTCTCCCATTGATCGTTTGCGTCGTCGCTTTTATTGACATTAAATTAAACAACAAAGCCAACTGGTGGTTACGAGCCTTCAGGAAAAAATAAAGAAAGAGGTGCCCTCTTTTGTTTTCCAGCTGAAGCCACCATGTTCAGCCCTCCCAGGATGGTTCAGGACTTCCAGACCGTCACACTCGAGCAATACAGGTGAACATTCGGACATCTGCTTTCAGTTCAGAAACTTGCCGTTGGGCGCTTCGAAACGCCGATTTGATTTTCTGCTGGGTGTTCATCGAACAAGATAAAAGTAAAATAAAGCTGGCTCTTTTGTTCAGTTGACGGCTGTTGGGAAGAAGGCGTTGTAGACTTGAACATTCTGGATTCGGTACACTGACAGTTTGAATTGACGTGTTCTTGCTGCAACTTTTCCTCACATGACTCTCAAGCCAGATCTTTGAGAGCACATTCTGAAGGGGCCTGTAGAGGTCACGGGTCGCAATCCACATTACGAGGTGGTTAGTCGCATCTCGAGAGTCAACCATTCTCCTGAGAGCTTTCTGACATTCTTTTTGGAAGTGTCGCAAACCAATATCCAGTATCAAAATGTCAATCGTACTGGACCGATTACAAACACCTTGAGGATTCGAAGTCGTGTGTCCGTTTCCAGGGCCCGCCACGCATCGTAAAAGATGAAACTTCGATCTCCAAAGGCTCACCGCGCGCACCCGTCTGTCGCAAAAGCCTATTAACAGCAACGAAAAATCAACTATTGAAAACTCATATTTTGTTTTTCAGGGCCCGCCACGCGCTGTACAAGACGGACCCCGACCTGCAGGAGGCGCACCGCGTGCACCCGTGGGTGATCGTGTGGGACGATCACGACTCCGCCAACAACGCGTGGCGCAACGGCGCGCAGAACCACAAGACGGCAACCCAGGGGCCCTGGGAAGCGCGTCTCCAGGCCTCCGTGCGCGCATGGTAAGAATTCAATTTCTTTGAGAGAACTCTTTCAGGGTTTTGCATTTTGAGGGTTTTGAAGGCTTGGAGGTACCGTAGCGATTAGCGAAAAGCTGTGGCGCAACGGCGCGCAGAACGACAAGACCGCAACCTTGGGGCCCTGTGAGGCGCGCCTCAGTGCCTCCGTGCGCGTCTTGTGAAAAAACGTTATGCTTGGAGAGTTTAGTTGGAGTGTTGTTTGACTTCGTTGCTTCATCTGGGTTCGGAACTGATTTCCGAAGCTTGTGGGTTTTCTAAGTCCTTAGTTTCAGAATGACAAGATGGTCAACTGGGAGATAGGCACGGGCGGCTTGTGCCAGACCCTTACACGCGCCGCGAAGGGGGCCTTCAGGAAAGAACCTGTTTGCGTTTATGCTCTCCGGGTGAAAGCTTGACGTATGCTCCTTGAACCCTGCGACTTTGTTGATGTGGGTCTGCTATGCTACGTAAAAGCAAAAGCTTAGCGCTGTATGTTCTGCTTTTCGGATAGAGTCCGCTAAGAATTATAGAGCGTGGAGTTTCGAAGTGGAATTTGAAGTGGCGGCAGTCGTAGGCTTCTCTCTCCTGTCTTAGCCTGGGCACGCCGAAATTAAAACCAGGAAGCGTACATATATACGCCAGATTTGCCTTTGAAATAAGAGGTGCGAAGGTGCGAAAGTGCTTAATTGTATGTTTTCCACCAATTATCAACTGCGTGTGCACTCTGTTTTCTCAGGCATTGAAATTCCCTGTGAGTTGCGAATCAGCCCTTTCAGCCCCCAGAAAGAGATCCTGCAGCTCTCTTGAAGTATGCGTCAGAAGAGCTTATGTCGAGCGCGTAAACCTCGAGCAATAGACGTTTCGAAAAACCTGATCTTTTCTCTGGTACTAGGTACGAGTGGCAGCCGGTGCGTCAGGTGCAGTTCGACCTCAAGCTCCGCATCTACCGCTCGTTCCAGGTGCGTTTCCAATCCCACTACTTTTCTCTCTGTCGTTCGAACGTGCTTTCTTAGAAGTGCCTCATCGGTCGGAACCGTCAAACCGACGATCCCAAAGTGCCGCTGTTTCTCGTCATCCCGCTCACTCATTCCACTCCGCTTTCCATGATCCCGCTAGTTCCAGTGTGTCTTCCAAATCAGCAACTTGCTCAAGATCATGATCGACACCCGCCTCATCAGTCGGGACTCCCAGTAGCTTCATCCCGCTCCCAGTCGTTCCGCTTTGATTCCGCTGCATCAGCTACTTTTGTGGTTTCATCCTGGGTGGCAAATTGCACGACTTCATCGTGACCGACACCCGCCTGATTGATCGGGACCGCCACGGACGGAACCAAAACCTCCGGAGTCCCTTTATTTTGCTCCGATCCGGTTCATAACGCTTATGCCGCGCATAACGCTCAATCCGTTCATTCGGCTCATTCCGTCAACTCAGATTGGCAACTTGCTCGACCTCATCATGATCGACACCCGCCTCCTCGTTCGGGACCGTCATAACGACGAAGCTCCTCTGATGACCACCGTTCCGCTCCAACTCATTCCGCTCCAACTCATCCCGCTCCAGATCCGCTGACTCCGCTCGTTCCGTTTGTCTCTTCCAGATTGGCAACCTGCTCGACCTCATCATGATCGACACCCGCCTTATTGGCCGGGACCGCCAGACCGACGACCCCCCAGACCCCCCGGTTCTCAACTCCACTGTCGGAAACGACAACTACGCAGCGCTCTTCGACCGGCAGAGGACTATGCTCGGGGCGACCCAACTGAGCTGGCTGCAGGGACAGCTCAGGTGAGAAATGATTCCTCGTTCGAGTTGCCGGTTGTTTGAGTATCAGAGTGCTTCGGTCAGGCATCAAACTCGAGGCGACCCAATCGCAACCAGCTCAGATAATGGTTCTTCCTCGCTCTAGTTGCGAATGCGTCCGCTTGTGTCTTTGGGTTTCGACGTGTTGCTTTGATCATCTGGCTCTGAAGCCTTCTGTGGAACTGTTTGAGTATAAACGGCTTGTTTTTATTCTCGAGTTTCTGCTCCGCTATGCGGTTATTTGTTCAACCTAGCTCGTTTGTTGCTTCGTCCGAAGTCACCTACTAGAATCATTGTAAACCATCGAAATCCCAAGGATCCTGAGCCCTACAAACAAACGGGCTTCAAACTCTGCTTTCGCAGCGATTCCAAGGGCCGCGGCGCGACTTGGCGCATGATTGGCAACCAGGTCCTCTTCACCCAGATGCCCGCCCAGATCCAGGACACCGACCCGCTCTTCAACTCCTTCATCGGTCCGGTTGTCGGTTACTCCGACGGCTGGGATGCGTATCCCGAAACCCGCTACCAGGTTAGTCGCAAACCTGCATCAAGATTCACAAAACTCAAAATCAGAACGCAGACCCGCTCATTAACACCTTCATCGGTTATCCGCCTCTGTGCACAGAGAATCTGATCCGTCGACCTTCGTAGGATGTTCTGAATTTGAGGGGACTTTCATACCCACAAGAAAAGCCTACGGCATACTTACTGCTTCCATATTCGTGGTGCCTTCCGTGTTGAAAAGCTGACCGTGAACAATCAAAAGGTTTGAGCAGATATGGTAGTGATCATTAAGCTCCCTCAAAGCCCCTCCAGCCTGAATCTTATCGAGCTTCACCGGGGAGCTCTCCTCCTCTTCTCTCTAACCCAGATCTGTGACCACAGGTTCTGGAGCACATCCGCCGCAACGCGATTGACAACGTCGTCGTCGTGACGGGCGATACGCACGCCACCGTCGTATCCGATATCCCCTTCTACCCGTATCAAACGTGGGGGCGCTCGTATATCGGCAACCCCAAGAACACCGCCAACGGCAACCTCGGGGTCAACGCTAACTTCTCCCGCGGGACCGGCAGCATGGCGGTTGAGGTCGGCGTGACGTCAGTCACCTCCAGCTTCTACGGCGAGGATGACGCGGCACGTGCCAAAGCTGACGCCACCGATGCGCTGCTCAAGTCCCTGATGCCCCACCTCAAGTGAGGCTCTGACATTTCCGCTCTTTTGTCTCCTCTTCTTTATGTAACACTCCTTTTTGTCTCCCTTCTTTTCTTTTCTCTCTCTTTCTCCAGAGAACTCATCCACCTCTGCAATTGATTTGGACTTTGCTTCTAAGTTCAATACTGGCTTTTGAACGCGTGAACGTCTTCCATAATGAACCAGACCTCGAGGTGAGAGCGCTCCCGCGAAAGCCCTCCACCGGATCCGTTTGGGCAGACGCTTTGACGCAGAGCCGAAAGCGAGTTTCCCTGTCCCCGGATTTTCACCGTTTACTTGCTCGCAAGCAATCGAAAGGCCAAAATCTTTAGAACCGGGCGTCAAAAGGCCTCAGGCTGTTATTTGTGAACACCTTCGTCAGTAACGAGGTCCTTTCAAAACCCTCAGAAGCAGACGCGTAATCGACACCCCGGGTTGATATCAGCTTTGTTCCTTCCTTCAGACAAGTGTCCAGAGAAGTGTCTCACTTGGCAACCGGTGTCCTCAGAACCTTACCTCCGCGCTTTCACAAAAACCCTCGTTAACCAACCTTCTGCAACCCCTGCAGATACTCTCCGTACACTCAACGGGGTTACTTCATAACCCAATCCACAAGACCTGAACATCCTATTTGTACCCCGTTTCTTAACCTGTTTCTGTACCCAGTCCTTGACCCTGCAGGTACCACGGTTATGTCATCACCGAGTTCACTAAGTTGCAGGCCGTGCACACCTTCTGCTTCGTCAACACATTTCTGCATTTCTCAAATAACGCATGTTCACATTTGTTGACCTGTTTCCTGAACCACTCCTTAAACCTGCAGGTACTCCCGGTACTTCGGTCACGGTTACGTCATCACCGAGTTCACCAAGGCGCAGGCCGTGCACACCTTCTGCTTCGTCAACACCATCCTGCAGCGCAACATCTCCACCGACTGCTCCAAGCAGCTCAAGCAGCTGTCTGGAACCAACCACCTCATTGATGCGTAACGCTCCGGTGCAAAGCGCTGCTTGCGTTACACAGCTGTCTTGCACTTATTCGATTCGTACCTACCTTCAAGATGAGCAGCGTAAAGATCGATTTTACACAGTTTTGTTTGCGTGATGTATGCGTATATATCCTGAGAGTAGACCATATGCCTAGCTTCGTATCTGGATTAGTTCTAGTTAAGTTATACTCTGCCTGCGTCGTACATTTTTGCTTGTGCGTGTCTGAGCCAATTTTTCCTCAGTGGGATTGAGGACAAAAGAAGAGCGGATCTGAAGAAAAATGCTGAAGCGACATATTTTTGACCGGATCAAAGTGGTGGATAACAATCGAATCTGCCATCCCGGCTTTGTTGAAATACATCTGGCCGGTTGTGTACATGCGCTTTGTCGGCATCGCCACTCGAAACTCCAACCAACGAACGAGGGTAGCGTCGTTCAAACCAACTTACTAATTAGGAATGATCTTATGGGTAGATTCAATGACTTGAAACATGCAGATGCTTAGTATGTGGCATGAGTGCAGAAGACTATTGAACTTTTGGGCCATACCGGTGACCTAGCTGCGGCAGCCGCGCCGCGGCCTAGATAAGTTTATACGTGGGCCTAACCGTCTGTGCCCCGCAAAGAAGTGGGCTACGCGCACGCCGCTACTATGATCTTCGAACTTAAGCATGGGCGAGCGCGCAAGCACGTGTACGTACGTCAGTGTGCAGATTGACTTGAACTCAGAGGGTCGATCGCGATACATTGATCATGCAAAATGATTGGCCAGACCTGGCGGGGCCGCCCGTCAGTCAAATCTGACAGCTATAGCTTGGCAGCGCGGCCATGTCCGGCAAGCCTGGTTCAAGGCTGCGCATAAGTAAGTGGCGGCAACCTATCATGCACGCATTATAGTACATGCCAGTGTTGCAACGAGTATTGATCGACCGACAAGACTCAACGGTACATGCCTCGATACAACAGTAGCAGCTGCGCGGCTCACAACACGGACCAATAAAACCTATAGATTCCAAAAAGAAGTCAGCTGTATGCTGAAGGAACGGATCAGAACTCGAAATGATTAATTGCATCTCTCTGACTCCCCGCAGTGGGCTGAGACAACCTTCATGGCGATCGGCAATATGCAATCTCCTCCGCAATCATGCAATAAATTGGCGAACGGTTGCATACACATACGTACCGCCCTGTATAAAACTTCGTACACACTCGGTCGAGCAGATATTCGAAGGTGGGCAGTCCGCAGGTCACGACTCACGCACCTACACCTAGAACTAGACTCACAAAAGGTCATGACCTGCAGGCAGCTAGTACAACTGTACAAAACCTGGAGTGCGTCAATAAGGCGCCTTGAAGGGTGACTAAAAGCGAGCTTTTCTTTTTCTGCCCGTGTACTTGGTATCTGCCGGGACCTCGACGCCCTTCTCTCTCTGCTGTCGCTTCTTGTTTAGGATCCAAGAACGGCCCTGCAATACGAGGAGGTTTAATCAAACCAGCAGCCGGCAAAGAGCGCAATCTTTCATCTATCCAAGCTGCAGCGCATTCGTTTGAGGGGCTGTGATTCGTCGCGAGCATCTGTTGCATCTGTTGTCTCGTTTCGTGTTCCTCCCTACTCTTAGCGTGCGAATGCGAATCTGTGCTTGCAGAATCGGCACAGGCAAGAGTCTGAGCAGGCAACTGCACCGAAAAGCAGAATGTTGATTGAGATCAGAGCGATCGGAAGATTGTTGGACACTTGAATAGCGCACGATCGACTTCCCCATTGTAAGCACCGGAAGCCCCTCCCTACAAATCCTGGTAAACTACATGTAACCGGCGTGTGACCTCAGACTCAAGGTCATTGAGCGCTTCAGATGAAACTCCTGAACCAAAGATTGACGCGCTTTGCACCCTAATCCACCCTTACCCCCCGGACTAACCCTACTCGCTTTCCAGGCGCCTAACTCAAGTCACGCGCCTGTCAAGGAACAGGATTCATCAGAGTTTCCTTAGTATATGGGCTGACCCTGATTGACCGCTGAGAGTAACACCTTGCACTCGCTGCCCGACAATCTAAGTTAGTACTCTCGCTTGACGGGAACGGTGTGATGTCGCTTGTGCTCCCCAGTAATCGTCGAGCGGGTGTCTAAATCCGACACACGTCAAAACTCCTCAACAAATACACACGATCCGCTGAAGCGGAGCTCCTGAGCTCAACACGCGCCAAGACTCCCAACAGACGCAAAGGAACCGTTAGAAGCAAAACGCCTGCTTTCTTGACGACCGTTAACAAACCAGCTGTAAAATGGCACCCCCCCGAGAAACGCGCGCACGCCCAATTTTCCTCTTTTCTTTTGCCGCTTTGCCTCGCATCGCCAGAAAGCGGACAACGACTTTCATGGGATTCATCGAGGTCACCGACGAAAGTCACCCAACGCAACGTCGACAAGTTGCGCGCTTCAAACCAGCATACTTTCCTCGTCCTTTCCCCTCTCAGCGACCGTCCCAAATACGGATCACAGAAACCAGACAGTCTCGAATAAATATCAACAGACTTTCCGAAAAGCAAAGGGCCTCTCTCACCTTCCCCCGCTTCCCGTCCTTCCTCCGCCGCTTTGCATGTCGTTGCCGGTCCGCAAACTCGACCGTCGCGCCCTCGTCGTCCTCGCTGACGTCATCCTCGTTGCTCTCGCTCCCGCCGTCGACGCCCTTCGCCTTCGGCAGCGTGCTATTTACAGACGGGGGCCCAGCCATGAGCACCAAGAAGTACTTCTTCGCACGCGTACTGTACAGAAAAAGGTGACGTCAGGGGCTTCCGGTTGCTTGCAACATTTTTATGTCGTCACGATTTACCATTGCTAGCGTCGGAGACAGTTCTTCCTTGGCCCCAGAGCAGTGGCTACTCGGAAAAAAAGAGGCTAGCCAATGAGAACCAAGACGTACCTTTGCCCGAGTACCGCGCAGAAACGAGCGACGTCAAATGTACCAGTGGAACAGATTCTCACAAAGTAACCACCTCTGTCGCTGACGTCATCGCCGTCATCCGGTCCATCAGAAAAAGGGGCCATCAGAAGTAGTGGAAACGACAAGCATCGGTCGAGTGGTGTAAGATCACGAACGAATGTGCCTTACGACACGATGACGTCATGACTAGGTCCTAATGACGAACGCATGCCTGATCGAGTGATTTCTCCATTTAAGTAAAGCTTAGAGGCGGCTGCATATCTTTGGCAAGCTCTCACATAGATCGACGTACCACGATTATCCTGATCAGGGTAGAAGTAGGAAATGAGGGGAAGTCAGAATGAAATGGAAAAGAAGGGCTCAAACAAGTTGAGCAACAAGACGCGAAAGCGCGTCAAACAGTACAAAGAACAACGATACACATAAGACAAAAAAGACAGAGAGGAAGAAGGAGAAAGGAAAGGAAGGGTACTCGCCTGTGCGGAAAGTCCACGACCAGCCCTCCAGAGAAGCCGACCCTCATTGCGGCGCTCGAAATCATTTCGACCTGCTTTGGACCGTCGGGATAAAACTGCAAAACACAACAACGGAATCAGCTCGTACCAGGTCAATATTGTTGAACCTTTGGTCTCAGCGTAATACACGTGCAACAACTTGTTACTCGCGTCGCAAAGACGCACCGGATGAAAGCTTCAAAAGAAGGACCCAATTTGAACAGGAGATCGACGTCAACGCCGGCTCTGAAGCGTGTCAAAAGCTCTCGAGCTCTTCAAAGAGCGTCGTTAAGCAGAAGATGACCGCAGAAAACGGGTTCAGAACTCAAATTCGAACCATATGCCCCCGGCCAGCTGTCGAGATGGCGAGTCAGCCTAGGCGTGTAACCAATGTCGACACCCGCTTTGATCCTCCTAACCTGGTATCACAAAGCGGTGGAACGGCAAAACTGCAGTAGATGGATCCTGCCAAGCCCTCTTGCAACCAATCCAAAACCATAGGGATTCCAAACCAGTGCTGACCCTTCGCTGTAGCCTGTGCTAGACTCGACCTAGTGAACGTAGCTTCAAAAGCAGGGTCACTGATTTCCGATCGCAAAAAGCAACCGCTTCTAGCGTTATACTTCTGGCTTGGCCGCACAGAATTCGGCCATTCAACGGGAGCAAAAGCGCTTTTAGTCTGGTTGAGACAGTCGCGTCCGTCGGCTTTCCGTACGAGCAACTCTGGCGCGGGAAGGTTTGCAGCGGATGGACCAGCAACTAGAGAGGGGACCAAACAGGAAGGTGTGCTTGGACCGGCCGGCAAAACAGCAGGGCCCCTCCTAATTCCAGTAGACCGCCTGACTCCCGAAATCAAAAAAATGACGAATAGTACCGTCGAACTGACGGTCAGCAAGATAAGATTAACTCGAGGAAGTCGGGCTTACATGAAACCGGTGCCAAGACCCACAGCTTACGAAAAGAATCCATCGGACCCGAGAAGCCCCTGCGCCAGGCTCTGGTGCCGCGTTCAAAAAGGGCCTCCCAAAAAAGAAAGAGGTCGCGGAGTTCAGAATCAAGACCCAGAACCCAACAAATTCGAACTGTCAAGGTGCGATGACGACAGCACGACGCACCTGCAGGACTGCCCTTGCCCCCCGCGCTAGACTCCGATAGAGCGTCTGGAAGAACGCCTTCAAGCGCTGCCGCGGATCGTTCGCCGTCTTGTCGGCGTTGCAGAGCCACTGGATCGCACTGATACTGATGGCCCCGTCGAAGACACCCGTCCGCAGGGGCAGGCCCTGTCCGATGTCCGACAGCATGACGTCACCCTCGACCTCCCGCTCGCAAGCCACGTCTGCGAAAACGAACAGACTTATCCGTTTGGTGATACAGTAATTCTTTCCGAAAGGGGACCAGATCCTGATGGCGCCGTCTCAGACATCCGTTTGCAGTCAACGTCTGACAGCAATGACGTCACCCTCGACACCCCGCTCAAAAACCACATTTGCAACAGCAGACTGGATTGAATTCTGGGGTTCTAACTTTCAGAGGTATTTTTCCCCTCGATTCTGAAACGGTGACCGATGCTAGTGGACCCGTCGAAGACACCTATTCAGTGAGGGAGCTCTGTCCTGTCCACTAAGATGACGTCACCTTGAACATCCCGCTCGGAAGCCATGTGTGCGAGCAGTGCGCTTCTGTACGTCTTTCGATCCCCCAGAAATTCAACTTCCAAATCTTGATAATCCGTTCTTCTCGGGATATGAGGTATCCAATCTTTGCCGTCAACGCTGCCTGTCTGCAGCGGCAGCCCCTGTCGGATGGCCGACGGTGTGTTGTCAATTATTTCACAAATATTGAGTACTTTGCGATTTAGATTAACAACCACTCGGATCTCGATGCCATCTCCGTCAAAGAGACGCGTCCGCAACGGCAGGCGTGATCTGATTACCAACAGCAAGACGTCACCTTTAATCCTTCCGCTCTAGTGCCACGTCTGTGAGAAACGATTCCGAATTCACGTGGTCTTAAAGTGTGAGACTTTGCCAACATGATAAGACATACTCGCGGCGGGAACAGGTACTTGATTGCCGTAGATAGGGCGGACATGAGAGGAACATAGCGGTTCCTGCAGTCTTCCTTGTAAAGCATGCCGCCGTGTTTCATTGGAACAAACACCAAACGAGGAAAGATGAACGAAGCGAAGAGCCGGACAGATGAGGCAGAGACCCAACAAAAGAATCGATGGTGTTTGAGATTTGATTCAAGAACGAAAGAACCGACTCACCACGAATAGTAGCAAGAGGCGAGCGGAGAGTTCGAAAACAAAAAGCAAGAAATTCGGGCCAGACGGAAACTAACGAAGGCAACAGGAGAAGCATAAAGAAAAGCCTCCAACAATTTCCCCGCTCACCTAACATGGCTTCGCTGATATCCATTCCCAACCAGTGATGCCCACACTCTGTGAGCGACTCCCCACTCAAGCCCGAACCGCATCCCAGATCGAGCAGCAGCTTGGGCTCACCATCTTCTGGCAGGTTCAACAGTTCCAAAGCTCGTTCTGTCAGGTTCGCCTGGGAGGAGAGCGCGAACTTTAGGACGATACCATCTTTTGCCACTCTTTGAATGGCTCCAGTGCGGCTTTGATAGCGAAACCATTCCGTTCCGGTCGTTGGATGGATTCAATGTGGAAATGCCTCCGGAATCAGTGGTTTCTGCTGCTTGAAAGATACTTCGAGACCTAATTGCCTGGAGGAGGGATCCTCTAAGAGGACCCTCTATGTTGAGTTGCCTGCAAGAGGTGGATTATTGAGGCAAACTATTCGCTATTCTTTGCCAGGTTTCTGAGGGCTCGGTCTGGCAGAGTCGACTGGAAAGGAGAACAGCATCAAAGAGCAAAATCAGAACTTTCCAAGTGTCGGCCAGTTTGGACAGTCTGCTGAGAGGCTCGACATAAAATCTACTGTGTGCTGAGACTCTGAAGTGTTACAAACAAGAAAACTAGTTGAAATTACTGCCCGACTCATCAGCACAGGAAACGAGTAAAGGGAAGGGCTGAGCTAGGCAACAGGCTCGAGCTAGGCAAAAGGCTTTTTGAGATTGGCCGGCGAAGAAGGTTCTCCTCCAACAACATGCGAGGAGAGGGGCAAGAAGGACGTGCCAAAAATCGTCAGAAATTCATTTCACTCTCGACAGAAACTTCTTGACAGACTCCCCCTAATTCCAGGGGCAAGAAGATGGTTCGTTGAAGAATAAATGAAACGGATAGCGATCCACTTGAAACAAAATTTTACCGTGCAAAGGCCTCAAGAAGTGGTGATGTTCGACGATTGGAAAGATTGTCGACCTCGACAACTTCTTTAATGCCAAGCCTTCCAGAAAGTCTAAATGAAGGACATTTCAAGATCTGTTCCTTTGGCAAGCTGTTCATAAACGATTACAGGGAGGAAGAAGAGACAAGGGCGCACACCACCAGTCCCATCAGAGTCATCAGAATCTTACAGCAGGCTGATCACAAGCAGAACTCCCCACCAAAACCCGAAAACCTAATTGCTGTGATCCAGGACAACAAACCCACCCATCAACCTTTCCAAAGAGGCCTTCTTTGCAGACCAGACCTTAAGGAGCGCTTCTCACCACCACTTCTTGCATGGAAAAGTTCACCACCACTTTGTGCATGGAAATCCCCCTCTTAACAAAGTGTGCCTCACCTGTATCTCCACCATTCGACTGCTGGTGGTGTACTTCCTGGCCTCAGTATCATTGTAAAAGACTTCGGGCGGCGCCAACTGCTCTGGACGGGTCGCCATCTGCTTGTACTCAAAAATTTGTCTGCTTATATCCAACACAACAACGGAAGGGCCTTTGACCTACTTCAATGTTCAAGACTTGGACGACTTCACCTGACACGTAGTATTACTTCCAAGTGGTGAAAATGGCGCCTCTGATTCACGTGTTGAGATAAGCCTCAGGGGGTCACCTTCAAAAACTTAGCCACTCCCACAGAGGACAGCCTGAGCGGACTGTCAAAACCCTAATTTAAAAGCTACTCGATGATGTCTGGCGAGAAATGTCCGGAACTAGCATTGCAGGTCTGATTGGGCATCGCCTAGAACTGGCAAGAAACGCTCTGCTTAGATGACATCGAGAAAGGAAACGCGCTTTCAAGTCTCAACGACTGCCTGATTAATCTCGCCCCGTCCTTGCCGCCTCCACAAACAACCTCACCATACGCACGCTGATATACGCAAAGATGCGGACCCGATCTGCTGCACAGCTGACAAGGCCATGCACATCAGAAAGAGGCAGCTTCGACATTTGATTCCTTAGGCTTTGTGCTGGTGAGCGCAACGTTTCTGCCAACACGTTGTTCACTTTTCGCTGCTGGCACCAGGCAACTTCAGTCTTCAATATGCTGATCAATTCCATCACCCCAGCTCTGTGAGTCACGCAGAGTGGGAATGGTTAATAGCAGCGGTAACTGAAGCCGAGTCTGTGCTTTCGTTCTGAAATCACTGCGCACAACCTAGTTCCCTAACGAAGTCTTGGCTTTAGGGTTTGGAATCCTTGGATATTTTAGGGTTTGCTCCGTGCGGCATGGGATATTTGGCACACGCATCATTCACCAACTCGAGTGACGTTGCGCGCTTTTCAGCTTGGTGCATGGCTACGTGGCGACGATCGGCATGGCCTCACCATCGACGGTTGCCAATCTGTACACGCAAATATCTTCCGACGAGAGGACGATTTCGATCCACCCACGTCATCGCGCTTTTCACTTTCGAATGAGCTGTACGCCGCCGCTCAGGAAAGCGCATTCATCGACGTAACTTCACTTTGCACCGTCGTTTCGGCTCCATGACTCAAAATCGACGGCTATTCAATAATTCTGAACCGATGTCGTACGGCGAACTAGGGACATGGTTCTCGGGCCAGTTGCGTATCCGTGGAAGACATCGTTATCTTTTTCGGGCGATCTTGAATGATGGCGGCGACAGCAGTCTGCTACGTAGCTCATCCAAGTTTCATGGTGTTTCAAGAGCTCCTCGCTCAGCAAGAAGGCGCGTCAGAAGCAGCGAGACAGCTCGCATGTTGCTGAAGGCTCTCAGTCTGCTGTCTCTTCCCTGCTGAGCTTGGCCCTGAAAGATTACCCCAACAAGAACTTCTTCTAGTTTGTATTGGAAGACAAAGGAATCAGCTGATCAGTCAATTTAGTGTCTTGAGTTTTTGATCATGTCCTCCATGGCCGTCGCTGCGGCCCAAAAGGTTGCAGCCCCCTCGTTTAGCCCCTATGCAAGTACTCCCTCCATGGCAGCCCGCATCTCTCTCTCAGCAGATTCAAGTGTCGGTTCTCACGTCGTGACAGGCAACTCTTCTCACAGGCAGGGCCAGCAGCCATCGCTGAGCACTTCGTTCAGGGGGGTCCCTCTTCCTCCCAGCCTGACCCCCCCGCCGCAAAACCCGACCCGCGGAATGGCTAGGAATGGTGTACAGCTTGCAGAGCCGCAGTTTGTGCAGAGCGAGTATGCTCAGGCCATGGCAGCAAATGCGCTCCTGCAGCAGCGGTTAGAGGCGGAGCGGCAGGGGTATGGGGCTGATCCCCGGGCTTCTTTTGGCCCGGAGCTTGTGGATCATGGCCAATTCTTTCCTCCAGCTAGTTTTGAGGACAGCCTCGCATCGCAATCGGACTTTGGGAGGGATCTCAGGGCCCCTGCTCCTGTACATAGCAGGTCCTATGCACCCTTCCCTGGAGCTTATAGAAACGATGCTGTCTTTCGGGGCGATGCTGTGTACAGAGACGAGCGTCTGGTAGAGGATTATGGTAGGTTGATGTATAGAAGGGAGCAGGAGTTCGAGAGGCCATCAACCAGTTTTGACCGGTCTCCATCCGCCTACAGTCATCGGGCCTTTAGCAACTTTCCTGCTGAGGACAAGCCTTCCCCTGATGCATTTGTCAGCCTTGCGAACCGCCTCAACAACGCAGCGTTGAACCATAACCGGAGTGTAAACCTCGATTTGAACCACAGGCCCTTCACAGCCGCAGAGCATCCCCGGCCGCATAACCCCAGGATAGACACCCAGCCGTTCAATGCTGCAATCGCCGGGATTGTGGAATCTTTGGAAAAGTCTCTGGCGATCTCGCCTCCTGCGGAGCGGACTCATGAGTGGGGTTTCAGTCCTAGGGGCCAGGAGACCCCCCGGTACAGGTTTGAAGAGGAGATGCGTAATAGGAATGGTAGAGGGTTTGAGGGGTTTAGGGAGCTAGATGATGTGCTGCCTAATGGGAGGCAGGTGGATCCGACCAGGGTGATGGTCAGCGGAATCTCATGGCAGATGAGCGCGCACCAAATTCGGGATGGTAAGTTTCCGGTCTTGTTGCCTCTGAGAATTGTCTTCGAAGAGAGATATGAGGCTCTTGAATTGTACCAGGCTTGCAGGAAGTTGACATTCATTGAGTGTGCTTATCTCATTTCTGGATGACGGCACCTTGCAATTGCTGATGTGACATATACGGTATTGCACAGTTGGCGCACTCCTGGTCTCATTGTGTGCTGGCAGATTGTAGACACACCTGATATTGCAGATAGGTGCAGCTCTGCATTTCAATTGCTCAATGATTGCGTGCAATTGCTCAAGCACAAGCACAGTGATGAAGATTGCAGCAGGTTTGATGCTTGAAGTGGTCTCCAATTACGAGTGCAACCTTCTTACCATTGCTTGTCTATTGTCACGTGCAGAGCTGGTACATCGGTGTAGCAAGCTCGGCAAAGTTGTGGACATAGAGGTTGCTCAGTACAGGGGGAACAGTCCATCGCAGCTGGTAAGAAATTGCATATGACTCCATACCTTTACATCATCGGTTGAAGTGTTATTGGCCAGTTGCCCTGTTTGAGAGCATTTCCTGACGCTGCTGGTGGATCAGCTCGTTTCAACTGACCTCTTCTCCTATATTTTAGCCAAGTCCAAGCTGTAGCTTAGCGACCAATTTTCCCTGTTCTCTTGACTACCTGAACTGAGCATCCGAAAGGTGTGGCTTTTGTCCATTCTGGTTGCAAGTTTTGACCCCTCCCCTCTCTTTGTGCAGGATCGAGGTCGGCACCGGGGCTTTGCTTTTGTGACCATGGAGACTCCTGAGCAGGCATCTCTGGTGATGGCTGCGCTACACAAGGTAGACATGGGGGGCATGCAGGTAAGCATCTTTTCACTTCTCTTGCCCCTTCCTTGCTTCATCTGGTTCTGCTCCGTCCGGTTCTGCTCGGACAGCTCTGCGTGTGTCATCAACTTTCTCTTCGATGTGCGTAATGAAGTTTCTTTCTTGGTAGCTGTTGCATAAAGTTGAGTCTGCTCAGATGAATTGTCTCAAATTAGAGACCATTTCTATTAAGTTTGAGAGTGATCATCTATCAAGGTTCGTCAAGGTTGGTTGTTGAGTTACCAACAGAAGTTGGGCGTCCCTTTGGTATAATCTTTTCGAAATTTGGGCCTTGAACAGAGCCAGTACACTTTTGGTTTGTCTCAAGTTCACTCACTTATGTTTGCAGGTCCAAACCAAGCCAGGGGTGGTCAAGGACCCTATGTTTGCTCGCCGCAACTATGCCAAGAAGAAGGCGGAGGAAGTTGTCCACAAGCCCCTTGGCAGGAAGCACGTCAAGGTGTTTGTCGGCAACCTTTGGTTTGGCACTGACGCTGAGAGGCTTCGAGAGGCCTTCCACGAGTTCGGGCTGATTGTTGACACGAAGGTATGTTCCGAGTGGCAGTCCAGGTTTTCTGGTTAGTCGCTGTTCTTGTCAAAGTTTTGTCAAAGTTTTTCTGACAGCTCTGCATTCCTTGTTGAGCAACATCTGTCTGTCACAGATAGGTCAAGGCAGTGCTGGCTGAAAGAGTGTTTAGTTTGCAGTTTACAAGGACGGTTCTGTGTTTGGGGTGGTCATGTTGCAAGTATATAGATTACGTTTTGCCTTGCTTAACGTGTCTGCTGCTCCGAAGGTTGTCTTTAGTACATCTGTACTTCGATGTCGACGTGGCGAATGTTTCTTAAGGTAGACACCTGTTTCCAGGAGTTTCTAAAGCTTGTCTTTTGCATCATTTGCAGGTGGTCAGGGACAAGGATTCTGGCGAATCTCGTGGCTTTGGCTTCGTCACCTTTGCCAACGAGTCTGCAGCAATCGAGGCTATCAGTGCTCGCGATGGGGCAATCCTGGACGGCCGCAAGTTGGTCGTCAACGTTTCTCGGAGTTGGGCGGGTTCTAGTGGAGAGGAGGAGAGTAGTAGCGAGGGTGCTTCTTCAGAGTTCTCACATGAGAGGCATTAGCATGGAGCGTCGGGAACTGTTTCTTTCAAAGTTGCAAGACGCTGCAACATAGCTGTGGATAATTGATCACTTGTTCACGGTACATAGTCTGAAGCTGGTACGATGAGCCGGTTGAGGAGTTGTGTGATTCGGGATGTTATTATAGCTTTAGGAACGATAGCACATCTAAGGCTGTTTTAAGTCACTAGGCAATGACATATGTGGATCCATTGCTTCTGGGATATCGAGTTGGAATAGACCTAGGTGCAAGTTGCATCCAGTACACTGGTGGTATTACAAGTAGACGAAGTTTAACCTTGACTTTGGAGTTTTGCATGCGTAGTTGCCACATTGGCTCTCCTATCAAAAAACTTACATTCATAAACACTTTTTGAAACGTTGTCCTCAAGCAAGCTTGTACCACCATTCACTTGGGCGGGTTTTTAGTTCAGCGATGGATTGGTATTCGGAATCTAAGCAATTTCAAGTATGATAGGATTTCTTTCTTATTTTATGATTTGTACGTAAGTGTGGTTGTAGTCTAGTTCAAGGCCTTATGTGAAATTACGCAATCTGCATACATTTCATACATTTGAACCGTCCGTGGTAATAAGCACTCATTTCAACCGTCTGGTCAATTGTGTTCTCCGACGGTCTCTTTCTGCATGACCGTCCTATGCATCCCAATACGTAACTTACCCTCACTGTGCCTCACATGATTACAATTGTAATCATGTGAGGCCAGTAACCATATCAACTTCTCAGATGACATCCGGCCATCACAAG